GTTTGTTGTGATTGGCTACTATTGTTATTATCATGTGGACTCTTGTCACTCATGTATGATGGAACAAGCATCACGAAGCGATATGATTTATGGTATAGTTCTAAGGTTTTGTGGTTTTGTTTGATGTTCAAGGAGCGAGGCACACACAGACATGCAGTATAGCTTTCAATGGCGAAATTATTGATATATCTTATAATTTCTGATTTTTAGTATTGCCCTGGATTCTTTAGAATGGCTTTTATATTTCGAGAGCGTCGTTTTCGAGGATCTCCATAATCGTCTACCTAAAAGATAAAGATAATACATTTTCATTCTTTATTCTCATGCCACAATCCATGCATAGATCAAGGGGATCAGCAAACATGAGCGAGAAGGTAGATCAGCTCTCACAACTCCATCCACCATAGACCCGATTGTTGAAAAAATTTCAAAAACAAAGATAGTGCAAATACAGAAGATAGAATACGAGGAGGATATAGCATGGGCAATGATAAACAAAAGAAAAACCATGAATCATAAAAAGCGACAGCTATCAAAGCAAATCGGTCATTTCATGCCTTAGATACCGAGGCCGAAAAAGGCGTCAAGAGGCCGGAAACTCAACATAATCGCAACTTAGGACTTGTTGTCCTTCGAGGATGAAGCTCCATCAGTACCCGACGAGATAAGTGTGGGCGCCACACGACGCCTCTTCGGCGGCTGCTGCAATGCGTTATTTTCTTCTTCCTTGCCCTGTTCTTTTTCAGACTCGCTTGCAGGTCTTGTGTCACGCTTGCCCAGAACACTACTACCGGTTGTACTAGGCCCGTTCTGTGGACCGCCTGAGATGGGCGTTTGTGGTGGGGTTGTCAGTGGAAGTGTCGGCGGCTGCGCGGAGTGTGTTGCTGTCACCGATGGAACAGTCCCGAGTGTCGGGGTAGGATTGTTCACGACTCCCGCGGGGGTTGGCTGTGTGGAAGGCTGTGTCGCGACTGAGCAGGTAGAGTTGGACCGTGCGGGACTAGCTGGCGGTGCGGGGCCGGTGCTGTTTGAGGATATATGACTTGTCTTGATTGGAGATGGCACATGTGGAGATGCCGAATGCGTTGGTGTCAGCAGAGGTGTGACATTCGCCGCAGGGGTGCTTGGGGTTGCATTGTTGTGAGTCACTGAGGTTGGTCCTGTGTACGTCTGGCCCAACTCCCCAGGTGCGAATGAGAGTGTTGAGCAAAAGCCGTCAGAGGAACTCATGATCAATGTCAATCCATCGGCGGACCTGTTGTGCGTTAGAAAGCAATACGTGGGTATCAAGTATAGAAACAGTACTTACCAGGTCAAGTCAGTGAAAGTAGCAAAATGCAAATTGCTCACAATACATAGCGGGGTTTGTTGTTGTGTGTCATATACCAAAACAGCATCTTGAGTAGCAACAGCATATACAATGCGATAGGGAAGTGCAAAGACTGGCGCCGAGCTCTGGCCTGCTTCATTGCCGCCGTCCTCGGCAGCCTTTTGGGATGGCTGAAGATTTGATGACTCGGCCGTCGTTGAGGATGGAGGGCCCGTGTGGGGTTGGCTGGTGAAAGATGGGGTTCCCGATACCACGGGTTCTGGAAGAGAAGAGAACATCTCCTCACCCGAAGACGTATCAAGGGTGATGTTTTTCGCAGGCTGGGTACCCTGCTTCAACGTGTAAAAGACCGGTGAGCATTTGACGGCTACAGATGGCTTCTTGTGTCCTGGAAGATGAGAGATCGGAGGTTTGTTGAAACCAGCCCGTGTGTAGACGTAAACGGTGTTAATGATCTCGTCTGTCGTCTTTGTAGAGTCCGTAGCTGATACGTGACTGGTTTTGAACTGACCAGCAGGCGTGAACAGCAGGCTTCCGTCAGGAGCAAAAGTCAGTCGCCTGAAGAAAGAAGTAAACGTCTCGTTGGCATAGATGCTAGCGTTCTTGACTCCCAGGCCACCAAAACTCGGGGAGGATACCTCCAATGGTTTAACGGCGGGTAATGGGAGAGACGGGGCTGGAGATGCAGATCGCCGGATCGAAGGAGACGAGCCGAATGAAGAACGCCGACTGTGTGAGACTGGAGGAGGATCCATGGGTAGGTTGGAAGCCATTGGAGTTCCCGGAGTCGAGGGAGCAGGCGAGGCAATGGCAATAGAATTTCCAGTGCTTTGTTGAGGCCGGCTAGTCACATCTGGAGGTGCAGGACTGCTGGATGCGATACGTTTGGCAGGGAGATCCATCTTGAGGACCTTTCCGTGTGGTGTCAATGTGAATTGTCCATCTTTGGTCTTCAATGTATAAATATGAACAGACCGGTCGGACGATTGAGTCGCGACAAACTCATTAAGCGGGTCCCATGCTACACCTTGAACGTAGTGAGAATGCTCGGCAATCTGTCGTACCATTTGCCCTGTAGAATTCGGTCAGCTTATCAAGCTGTATGAGGATTACTAGAGGGCAACTAACCAGTTTGGGCATTGTAAATCCGTGCAATGTTATCCATGCTGCCTGTAATGATAAACACACCATCGGGAGACCAGGCCAGGTCGTAGATCTCGGCGCCGGACGAGCGACACATGTGCTTCACTCGCCAGGTCTCTTTATCGTCCGAACGATCTTCACCCAGCCCAGCTTGTGTTTGTATCTCCGACGGTACCCAGAGTAGGACATTTCCATCATCTCCAGCAGATGCCAGCATCTCACCTACATCTGTCAGACTTGCGGTTATACGCTATCCTGTGTAAGAACATACCTTTTGGGCTGAAACGGACCACATTGACAGCCTGTGTGTGCTTTATCAGAGTGCTCAGATAAGAGACTCTTCTTTCCTCCCCGGTGGATTCGACTTTCCAGAGCTGTAGAACATGTCAGATCAAGGTGTGCGAAGGGCGACGGAGGGCGGGTTCATACCCGAACATTGTTGTCACTAAAGAGAAAGCAGTCAGTAAAACCGTTCAACACCCTGAGTGGACAGAGACAACCTACTTTCCAGCAGTAGCTAACCGGCCCCTGCCATTGGGATCGAAATGCACTGAGTAGATAGGGGCATTGTCATTATGCCATGAGATGAGCAACGGGGTGGCCTTCATGGCGAGCGCCGCAGCTCAGCTTGTTGAGCACCACCGGTTGTGAATAGGGAAATATGGCCTAAAGAGAGAATAGAGAATTTCCGAGTCTAATGATCAAGGTATCTTTTTTTGCCAGGTGATATCTGGGGTAATTTTGGAATTGGAGAGGATTCCGTTACTGTCAGGTAAGAAGACAGGGAGAAAGTGTAATTCCAAATAGGAATGGAAAATAAAAAGATGCGACAAGGAGTTGGACAAGAGAAAGAGTTGGAGAGTTGCGAAGGTTTAAGGAAGAGAGTCGTGATTCTACGATGATGCTTCGAGTTGTTTGCGCGGGAGAACGCGACCGACGATTAGATAGGCGACAGACGCCGCATTTTTCTTTATTATATCTATGGGGAGTATGTTAGTATGTTAGTATGTTATATATGATTGTTATATAGCATCTATATCTATTAGATTATATCAAACTGACTGTTGATACTAGAAATGCCCGTGTTATGATTCCAGTTTCTTACCCGAGGTCCTCAAACACCTACATAGCACCCCTAGAGGTAAGCACTAGAGAAGTAGATATTAAAAAGGGAGTTAAGAAATAACAGAGTGAGACACCTAGGAATAAATAGATATAACATCAAAGACCTCAAAAGACTAGATTTAAGTGAAACTATTACTCTCTACAGAGTACTATAGGAAAAGAGCTATACAATGTGAATTCAAAGAAACCCCAACGCCTCTCCAGTCGCCATTTTTAAAAGCAAAATAGTACATACAAGAAGCTGGATTCTACTACGACATCCACTTTCCGAGAGTCTCTCCAAACCAGCTTACAGCCTTTTCCTGTCGCTGCTGCCGAGCATCGTCTTGGGTCTTCATAAACGGCGCAGCCTCCTGCGCATACATCTTGTGCTGTTCCCGCTGCGCATAGTGTGCCCGAATCTCCAACTCTCGTTCATGGGGCGTGAGCTTCTGTAGGGGCTTCGACGGTCTGAGCTCTTCTGGGATTGCCTCTCCTCCAGGAATCTCAAGGCCGACTTCTGGGGTTTTGGTTGGCTTCTCTGGGTTGAAAAGCGATGTGAGAGGTGGTGGCTCAATTCCAGCAGCCTTTGCATCTTCGATTCGCTTTTCGTAGTCTAACATCTGATGGTAGAGTTTGTCGGCATGCATCTGAATGCGCTCCTCTTTTTCGGCGTCATAGTCGAAGCCGGCTGCGTAACCGAGAGCTTGGAGGAATTTCTATATAACGGAAACATATTAGAATCAACATAATCGTGGAAGCTTTAAGTTGTAACACCAACTCACAGTCTGAGTCGTAAAGCATCGCGAAAAGGTGCCATTCTCCGCCGAGCACATGGTCAGCCGGGCTTCAATTTGCTTGCGCCAATTGCCGGTCTTGAAGCAGTGTGTCAAGGCTTCATGCTCCAATGCACAGTTCTCCATTGCTGCTCGCTGCACTGTATCACCACGCTCCTTGTACTTTTCAATCACTCGGGACGCTCCGCGGACTCCGGATTGTTCGTCGAGCTCCATCGGCGGCTTGTAGGTTTTCCATAGATCGGCATAACGGCCATCTTGGTAGAGGGATGCTGCAGGAACTTTCGGGTTCGAGGTATCAGACGGTTCGGGCGATGGCGTAGGTGTCGAGGGCGGCTTCACATTGGGTCCAGGCACGTATTTGTCGGGCTTCTCCTGCTCGAGAAAGTCACGAAGCCCCGGATCGAGCTTTTGGACCGTATCAATTTTGTCACCCCAGAACCAACCCATTTGGAAATACTAATTCGAAAATAACCAAGAATGTGCAACAACTGCAGTGTTGAAGGTTGAGAGCGCGGAGAAATCGGCACAAAAATGGATCGGCTCCGATCGCCTTGGCTCCGATCGCTCGTCTTTACTCCTCAACCATCAACACGACGCGTCTTTTTCGACGCCGTTCCTCCAAAATGGAAGCCTGTATGTCTTGTGGTGTTGTGTTTATCTATGTGTGGAATTGCTAACAATTGACAGCGCGAGAGGAGCGGCAGCTTATGCGGCAGCGTGGAGCTGGGTACGCGCCTTGCCTATACCCCGCGAAACTATAACATAGATGCTGACTTGCTGGTACAGGACGCGCAAAGCAAAAGAAGTCAATTTTGGGTTCTCATTTGGTAGCCCAGCGCTTGGGTTATCAGCGCCCGCGCCGATTGCGACTGTCCCTGAAGCTCAGAATCCACCGCGAACACAGACCGCGCCGAACACAACACCGTTGAAGGCATCGCAACCAGGATCGCAACCTCGGGGGGTTGAGCGCACACCGGGAAGCGCGCGTAACAAGCTCCCAGAAAGGCCCTCGACATATGAAGTACCCTCCTCAGACGATAGATCTGAACAAACGCGAAGCAACAAGAGGAGAAAGATTAGTATGTGGACTAGGCTGGTGTGCTATGCTAGAAATGTGTACTAATGTTTCTCTAGGTCCTACTAAAGCAACAGAAGGTACTCCTTCTCGTCGGAATGGCGGGCGACCTCGGAATGGCGACACACACCCCGTTGATAAAAGTGCAGGTAGCACAGAGTCTCAAACAAGTCACACCCAGGAACTTCCGAATACAGATGTACCTCCTCCATCAGAAATAACCAACAATAAACCCCCACCGCCTCACATCTCACCCATTCCGGAGACCTCAGTCGAAGATCAACACCTAACAGAAGAGGGGACTAATGGCGTGGAACCAACAACATCAGCCGCCGACGAGCCATTGCCCCAAGTCACATCTCCAGTGTCTAGCCCCACAGTGCCTGCAGTAGCGGAAGAAGCACAGGCGCCGATTTCATCGCCTGAAGCTGAGACCGGGGTCGAACAGCCTGAAAACACAGAGCAACTACCCGAGAAACGACATAACACTCTGTCACCACCAAGGCCCGAGGAACAAATCCAAAGAACCAAGAAAAATCAGCGGGATATTACAGAAACCGTTCTACCAGTTGTTCAGACAGATAAATCTGCCACAGAAGCCGTATCACCACGTGGTAGCTCCGCCGAGGCTCTTAAAGCTAGCCATGCACCAACTACCGATGATGTCGACATGACTGAGGATGCTCCATCATCCAAAGAAGATGCACCAGAGCAAGACAACCAGCCGTCCCAGGGGCCTTCTACGAAGACGAAAAAGCCTCGGGGTCGGCCGCGGCAGCAATCCACCGAGAACAACACACCGGACCTGCACGTTGCAGCCGCTGTACAAGATCCTACAACCGAGGCGCAGGATGAGCCTGCGGCAGCCCAAGTTGAGAAAGCTCCAAAGACCAAACGGCCTCGTGGGAGACCCTCGCTTGACAAGAAGACCATTGAAGCCACCGAGACTGAGAATATTTCACCCGAACCTATACCAGATGCTGCGGAGTCCTCTTCGGGGCCACGTCGGGGTCGTAAGCCAACATCACAAAAGGATGACCAGCCGGAAACTGTGGTGGAATCTGCAGTGTCCAAGCCACAACGTGGCAGACCAGGGAAGAAAGCGAAGCAAGCAGTGGAGCCTGAAGCCGAGCCTGAGCCTGTACCAGCAGACCAGGCAGAACCAGAACCAGAATCTGCAGCACCCAAGTCTCGTGGTAGGCCTGCGAAGAATGCGAAACGCGCAGCCGAAACTGATCCCGAACCCGAACCTGCGACAGCAGACCAGCCAGAACTAGAGGCAGAATTTGCGGTACCTAAGTCTCGTGGCAGACCCGGGAAAAAGACTAAACACGCAGTCGAAACCGAGCCTGAGCCCGAGACAGAAGATCAACCAGAACCCGAAGTAGTACCCGCGGTATCCAAGCCCCAACGTGGCAGGCCTGGAAAGAAGGCCAATCGTGCAATGGAGCCGGAGGCTGAACCTGCCGCAGAAGACCAGCCGGAGCCCGAAGCGGATTCTACAGTACCTAAGACTCAACGTGGTAGGCCCGGGAAGAAACTCAATCGCGCAATGGAACCTGAGCCCGAGCCCGAGCCTGTCCCAGAAGATCAGCCGGAGCCCGAAGCGGAATCTGCAGCACCCAAGTCACAGCGCGGCAGAGCTGGAAAGAAAGCGAAGCGTGCAGTGGAACCCGATCCTGAACCCGAGACAGAATACCAACCCGAGCCCGAGGCTACCCAAGAACAGCCTCGTCGCAAGACTCGAGAGCCTCGTGGAGAAACAGTCGCGGTCACCGTTTACCGTCTCGCGAATGTGAATTCTCTAGGTGGCGCGGCATCTACGGCCAACGGGTCTGGAGATGAAGAAGAGTCCGCCGATGAACTCACTACGCACCAGAGGGCCAAGATACCCAACCGCGGCGGTGTCAACCCGGCTGATGTATTGAGCCAGATCTGCCGCGAGACTCTGGAAAAGACCCTCAATACACTCAAGGATGGGATTGCGAACGAGGCGAATGCTACGCGCCGTGCAGAGTGGTCACGCAAGAGAAAAGCTGTTGAAATATTTGGCTCGGAGCTTGAGAGCCGTCTCATGGAACTTAGCGGGGTACTCGATAGCAATTTCGTGCTTGGCGTGCAATTGAAGAAGACTAAGCGGGAGATGATGGATCTACGGAATCATCTATACCGTGTCCGTCGAGAACGCGAGAACATAGCTTTGCAGATGGATGCAGTGCGCAGCAGACATATTGAAGAGGAGAAGGCAAAATTGGTGAGACCTTTCCCTAATAGCCCTGCCTGATGCAAACATTACTAACAACAGTTTCTAGTCACGATCCACGATCAGCAATTCCCTCCATAGCCTTGAACTGGCCCTCGACCGCAACAAGCAACGTTCTGCTTCTGCTGCGGATTCTTCTCCGGATCTTGAATTTATGCTTCGCACTGTCGCCGACGTAAGTTCCCGAGCCCCTGGAGCACAAGGCGGTCTCTTAAACCAAATCCGAGCGTTCAACGCACAGCTCGAAGCTACCGTTGGTCGCCTGGAGCGATGATGTCTATTTTCTTTCTTTCTGTTCTGCGTTCTTCTACAATCCGTTATGATACCAGGAAATCGTGTTTGTGCAATGATTATAGTCCATGGCTGGGCCAGAGGATGGCGTCTGGTGATATTTGCATCTGTACAAGTCCCGATGTGCTCAAGTACATAGGTAGCTTCTACATGTTACTTTCGGCTACCATTGAATGTCAAAGAAACGTCAATCTCCAATTTATGACGAGCTGCTATTCTACATTATACACATAGGCAGATAACGCTTCCCTGCACAACTCTATTTTGTATTATTAATTCACCCCGAGCGAGGGCTAGAGTGGGTCAACTGGCAGCAAATCAGAATCGCCACTCGTTCTTCTTGATGACTAGCGATTTGCGGGAAATAAAGATGTCTCATGGTGCAAGGGGGCTATAATTTTGGAAACCCGCTTAACTCCATTGCTTGTTAATCCAAGTGGAGCATCTTGGAAGTTCTACGAAGCAAGCAGACACTACGATCAAATACAAGATATAAACCCATAGCATGGCCATTCACTCGAAATGTATCCCAAAAACCAATCGAACAACGTACTTCCAATTACGATATAAATAAAACAGACCCAAGATCAAGATCAAAATAAACCCAAAATGACGAAACTCTTCACCCCCCTCCGCGTCGGCCGCGTCGAGCTCTCCAACCGCCTCGCCATGGCGCCAATGACCCGCTTCCGCACCGACGACAACCACACCCCACTCCCCATCGTGAAAGAATACTACGCCCAGCGCGCCTCCGTACCAGGCACGCTCCTCATCAGCGAAGCAACCAGCATCGCCGCCCGCGCGGGCGGGTACCCCCACGCACCGGGCATCTACAACGACGCGCAGATCGCCGCGTGGAAGGAAGTGACCGACGCCGTGCACGCGAAAGGCAGCTACATCTACCTGCAGCTGTGGGCTCTCGGGCGAGTCGCAAGCCGCGAGCTTCTGAAAGCAGAAGGCGGCTTCGATCTCATCTCGAGTAGCGCCACGGCCGTGAACGCAGACTCGCCTACGCCGCGCGCGTTGACCGAGTCTGAGATCCATGAATGGATCGCGGACTATGCGCAGGCGGCGCGGAATGCCATTGCGGCGGGCTTTGATGGTGTCGAGATCCATGCTGCCAATGGGTATCTGATTGATCAGTTTCTTCAGGATACGTGCAATAAGCGTGAGGATGCGTGGGGTGGGAGTGTAGAGGGGCGGGCGAAGTTCGCGGTTGAGGTCTCGCGCGCTGTTGTTGAGGCTGTTGGGGCTGATCGGACGGGTATTCGGTTAAGTCCTTGGGGCGAGTTCCAGGTGACGAGGATGGAGAATCCGAAGCCGCAGTTTGGGTATTTGGCGGCGGAGCTGGCGAAGTTGGGACTTGCGTACACGCATTTGGTTGAGCCGACCACTGAGGGGAATGCGACTGTTGAGGCGGGGGATAATTTGGATTTCTTCCTAAAGGCTTACGGGAAGGCTTCGCCGGTCATTGTTGCTGGTGGGTATGAGGCTGATTCGGCGGTTCAGGCTGTTGATGAGAAGTATGTGGATTACGATGCTATTGTTGGCATTGGACGTCCGTGGATTTCGAACCCCGACTTGCCGTTCCGTATTCAGAAGGGTATTCCGTTTGCGCCTTATGATGTTAGCACTTTCTATATCCAGGACCCCAAGGGATACACTGATTATGCATTCAGTGCGGAGTTCCAGAACTCTATTGAGGCTGCGGCATGAGTTGGGGTTGGTTTTGCTGTCATAATTGCTTAGTGATGTTTGTATAGATCTTTGGATGTATATAGAGCTAGATTTAGAATAGATCCTGGCATATATAGATAATCTGGTGCTTCAATCATTTTCATAAATTCGCTTCACGCTGTGCCGGTGTGGAAATATTTCAAAGGACTGACCTGATGTATGTTGTGGTTTTTCCTCCAGGGCTCCAGGGCTCCAGGGCTACCAAGACGACTCGCAAAAACAGGTGATGTGTTGTACTTGCCCTCTCCTGTGCCTCATAATCATTATGAGATGAGTTCTCTAGAACATGAGGATAGGAGCAATGCTGTCAACAAACTGCATGACTATCACATTATAAATGACCTTGGGTTAATCCATTTTAGGTATAGCGTGAGAGTTGGAGTTGCTCCCTGATTGGATGGCCCGGGGGCACTGCCCAGGTGAGTAATCAGTATCCAACCTTCCAAGGTTGAAAGGAGCATCAGTCACTCCACATTGGAGACTGAGTATGATATGTACTAGCCTGAGAGTCTAAAAGAGGCAGCTTAATAAAAAAGCGGGGGAAATCCGATATATCCGGAGGTGCATATGCATCTTGTAAGCAGAACTCGGTAGTTGGGTCAAAGAAGTGATTCCCCCACAATACCGCAGACATCCGGTTTTACCAAAACGTGGCTTTCCTCCGACTTGGCACGGAAATAAAGAATTTTGGAGCCGAGAAAGTGTTCCGCTCCGCCGAGCCGGAAATCTACACAGCCGAGGGTATAACCAACATTCTGGTAGACAGTAACCGTGGATTCTACATGTATTGGGGTATGTATTAGTTTTGTGGGGGATCAGATGAGCAAAATGTGGGGGAAAATGCAAATGCCAATTTGCCAAGTATAATAATTACTAAAATCATATGTTCCAAGACAAGGTTTGTATCCCGCGCTATATTGTAAGCTCGCATGACGATGCATGATGCTCCTTGGGTGTACGATCGCCCAGGGCTGAGAAATCTATCCCCGCATCGCGTTGCCGTATTGAGCAGGGAGCAACGCCAAGTTTCCAGGGTATTTGTTGGGGCTGGAATTCGGGGGAAGGGAGGTGATCTGGTAATTGGTAATTGATATGGAGTGCTCCGTACCTCTACTCCGTATGTGGTCAGCCATTATTGATCTGTGCATGGCGCGGGGGAAAGGTCAGACGAGATCATTATGATTGGTTAAGAAGAATATAAGATGTGCATGAATTATGAACACATTGCTGTCAATACATATATCCATGGATGTATGTGTGGTGCCACCTTGGAGCAGAGTTTGCGCTCGGATCAGGTCTGGATCACAAAATTGGATTATAAATGATCCCATGTGGTTTCAGGGTACATTGCTTTTTTTTTAATGGCTCTCCTATGTACTCCGCATGTCTTATAAACACAGGCTAAATTGACATCCAACATGAATATAGACTATAAACTCTCAAGGGGAAGTTAAAGGGCCACTTCCAAGGGCCAAGAAGATTTACACAACTTTCACTCCCGAGGTCAAGACCCTGGAGGTATAATCTGTGGCGTATGTGTTGTTTATTATTGCTACTTGGCGAACGCCACAAATCCAAGCTATTGCCCAGATATTTTCAGTGGATGCTTACAAACTGGAGAAAAGTCCTTCTTCTTACACCGAGAGCTTAGCAAGGCCTCGGGACGATTGTCGCACTGCATGAGTGGAACCGTATAAGATGTACGGAGTACATACCGTCCTTGAAGGGATCTTGCATATTATTTCCGACATAAAGAACCTTGTCGCCGTTTCTGCTGCAATACTACCTTGTTGCCACGACACCAAAATCAACGCAAAATGACTGGAACAACCCTGGCTAAATTGTATACCTTGGTCTAAACTTGAACGGGGAAATCTCTGTTCCGAGCCGAATCTCAAGCCAGTACGGAACCTCCGTACGGAGTAGGGACAAATGACTGGAACAGGGACGTCCAGAGACGTCCACAGGTTCCACCGTGTCAGTCATTAGCGTTAGATGTAGATCCTATCGCAGAGCCACATGTGGAGATGAAGCTTGACAAGTTTGCATCTCATCACGGGGCTTACGAGAGAAAAAAAAAAGAAAGAGAGTAAAACAGGTCCGAGCCTCGTATGCCGATCTAGGTTCCCCCCCGGACTGATGGCCCATTTGAGAGAGAACACGGCAAGACTAGTCAAGCTGGTTCGCGGCTGTGCACTGTCGATATTACCTCTTTTTTTTTTGCACGTCAAGCTGGAATGGGTATTTCGTCCCGTTTCCCCGAGACTTGAAACATCCACGGGTACTTCGTATTCCGTACAATGCGTAAACTGGGACCTGAACAACGGTCTCCAGGCGGCGTCTAGTACTCCGTACACCGTATATCCGGGGCTAGTGGGTAATATGCGTTATAGGTGCATTGTTAGTGGTGTATCCGTGCTTCGTGTCCGGTCTGAAAAAAGGGGCAAAGGGGGCGAGACTGACGCTAAGTGGGGGGGAAATGAATATCACAGAGAAAAAGAAAATAACAATAACAATAAAAACAATTATAATACATAAAATATTCTGTAATCCATGCACACATGTTGGAAATGGGTATTTGATCTCAGCATGAATTCATTGGTGCGTAATCCTATCCGGAGATATCAGCCTAAACTTTAAGAGTCTATAATCTTATATACGGTACTTTTTCCCTCTCATAACGTGAATCGAGTGTAGAATAATGACTGAATCATTTCATAATCCGTTACATAGGTAATAATTGGTATGTTCAGGCAAAAAGTCCATTCCACAATTAGACCGAGGTCGTGACGCAGTCTCGGGTCGGCGTACTCAGCACCGGGATTTACCACCGAAAAAGCCGGTCCCAACAAGTATCCTCTACCTGAAAGTACATAAAACATCTGCTTCAAGTCTGGTGTCCAGCGCATGGTATCAAAGTACTGTATATATGCACAATGTACTCCGTACTACTCCGTACATCGTGCATGGCAGGTCAATACTCTGTACGGAATAAAGTGGACTCTACTGGATGATCATACAACATAGAAATCCAGAGTCCAGTGAATTTCCGTATGGCCTATAGAACTACTGTCCATGGGACCCGAGAAGATCGATCCGTGGATGAAAGGATTCAAGCACTCTCTTATAAGTTCACTATATGGTTATACATCATATGTTGTACGGAGTACGGAGTACATAGTACATACAACGTAGTAGAACTTCCACCTAATTATGCAGTAAAGTTAAGTATTAAGCTTGAATGATGATTATTCCCCAACGCTCTACCAATCATATTGTTCCCCGGATCCTTTCAGTCTCTCCACTTTCTTCCCCAGTCTAGTCCTTTCCCTTCATCCTTGCTTCTACCAATGACCTGTGAACGGTCCCCTCCCCATTCCTCCGTGCCGTCCCTGCATGGCTAATTTGGCATTGTTCTAGACGGCAGAGTTGCTAATCCCTGTGAAACAATGATTTTTTGAAAAGTAATAGGTCTAAACTGGCTCAAGGGTATATATATTTTCATATAATTGAGAGGATTCCCCCGACACTCTTTTTGCTCTTTCTCTTTCTTTTTTCTCTCCACTTTATATTACTCGACCAGATTCTATTAAACTTCTCTATTAGTGGGAACGGGTCCTGGCGGCTGCACATCATTGTAATATATAATACCGAGTACCGAAAACCAAATACGAAAAGGTAAGTTTGGTTCCACCCCAAATCCAATTTTCCCTTGTGCCAAAGAGTATAATATTTCCTTCTTCCCTTCCCCAGTTCTCCATCACTCCAGCACAGGTGCATGATCTGATTCCTTTACCTATAACTGTGTTATACGGCATTACCTTTTACATACTTTTTTTCTTTTACTTTCTTACCTTCCAATTTTTTAACGAACAAATCAGATACTCTGCATCATGTCTGGAACTGAAGCAATCAATCACAACGACCACGCCGCGCTGGAGAAGGACGTGAATCCCTCCCCTCCCTCTCCCCAGATCGGCCTGGGCAACAGCGGTGCTCCAATGCAGCCCCAGATGTCCGCCGAAGAGCACCAGGTAGCTCGCGCTGCCGCGCGCTTCGGCTACGGACCTCTCGCCCACGTCAACGCCACAGAAGCATCCCTGCCTCCCTTCGGTGGTGAGTTCCAGCCCGGTCTGTACAAGTCCGTCGAGGGCCGCAAGTTTGCCAATCCTGCTCCTCTCGGCCTGTGCGCTTTCGCCCTCACCACTTTCGTCCTCAGCGCTATCAACATGGGAACCCTGGATATCGCCAGCCCCAACATCGTTGTCGGTCTTGCTTTCGGTTACGGTGGTCTTGTTCAACTGCTTGCCGGCATGTGGTATGTAACAGTAACTTCCGTAGCCCAATTGGGATTTCATAGCTATGTTCTGCGGCTAATACGCGATTTTTTTATTTTTTTTTAGGGAAATGGCTGTCGGTAACACTTTCGGTGCTACTGCTCTCTCCTCCTACGGTGGTTTCTGGCTCGCTTTCGCTATCGTCTTGACCCCTGGTGGGTTCCAGATTGGTGAGGCTCTCGGCGAGACAAGCAGTGATCCTTCCAAATTCTATGACTCCATGGGTCTTTTCCTGATGGTAAGTTACCTCTCACCTCTCGTCACACAAAAGTGCAAAGAGATCATTCCCCGCTGACAATGTCATAACAGGGCTGGTTCATCTTCACTACCATCATGTTGTTCTGCACCCTCAAGTCCACCGTCGCCTTCTTCTTGCTGTTCTTCACCCTGGACCTGACCTTCCTCCTGCTCGGTGTTTCCTACCTGCAGCGCGGTCCTGACGGCCACCCCAACGCCAACGTCCAGAAGGCCGGTGGTTTCTTCGGTTTCCTGGCTGCTTTCTCTGCATGGTATAATGCCCTCGCTGGTATCGCCGATACTAGCAACAGCTTCTTCATCATCCCTGTCGCTCACTTCCCCTGGTCCCCCACTGGCCGTGTTCGCCGTGATAAGACTGACCGTGAGCTCGCATAAGCGATTTTTCACTTTTTTATTGGAAAAGAGACGCGGATGCGGAGTATCCGCTTGGTGCTTGTAATGTTTTCGATACCCAGTGTTGTATGTATAGGCGGCAGATAGACTGAGATCCTGTTTCGCCGTTTTGTGCGAATCGACACGTTCGCTCGTCGTCGGTTGTGTTGCGGTTTCGAGGGAGGTCTGTCTGTTCGTCGGTGACTGTTGCTGCTGTGCATGGATGATCAATACGGAACATCATGCCCGGTTGCAGTTGCAAAAATATCCGCCAGTCATTATCATTTTTGGAAAGTCGATTGATGATGCTGGTTGTAATTTCGGGGAGCACTTGGCTGATTTCTTGTGCTCTCTGGGCTTTTTTTCCTTGCTGTATTTAGTCTCCTTTACCTGCGAGTTTCTATGACTCAGTAATTAATTCATGAAACACTCTTCATAATGTGTTCTTTCAACCCTCTTGTTTCATATTGTAGACTGTTGTCCATGGTGTCTTGATATCGGGTCGAATTCTCATTGTTTTGCTGTTGTTCGGAGGCTGCTGTTGTTGGCCCTATGCCATTGTAAACCCAACCCAGTCATGTGTAGCCATGCATGCGAGTCAATCGGGTCTTTGTTGCGAGCTGAGAAACAGCCGTCGAGCCAAAGATGCAATGCGTCCATCACATAGTAAGCAATATCCGCACTGGCAACTTCGGTCATCAATTCTCCAAGCATACCCCTAGTCAAGCCCTCAGACCTAGGGAGGCCTGGAGGTTGACAAGTCATAGATAGCCTGGTATGTGATTCATGAAATGATGCTCAGTGATGACGAAAAGTTGAAGACAGTCTGAATGTTTTATTCGCAAGAATAAAAAAAAGACTTGGTTTCAGTCGGCGGGAAAGAAAGAGCAAGGAAATGGGGGCAGGGAAGTACGTATATATCCCCCGAAATGAGTCTTTTTCCAGCAGGCTATTACACCTAGACCCTAGACTGGCCTTCCACTGGATCAAGTCACCCGAGAGTGGAGATTGGTGTTTGATCTCATGTCGGTATTTTCTCGGTCTAAGCTAAGACCTGCAGGAAAGGGTGATAATTCAAGAATGTGAATTCCGAAGACCTTCATATTGTATGTTATAGTTGGATGCTCATAACATTCTGCAACATACTTCTTTTCATAGGAAATATGTGTATATCTGGTTCAATGGACGAGAAAAGAGTTAACTGAACTGCAATAAAAAAAAAAAAAGACAACAGAATAACCCAGAAAGGTCAAACAAGCTAAGAAACAGAGCTGCAGCATCTATCAAAAAACGCGCATCACCGACAAACACCGAGCCAATACCGAGAACTACCCGGCTGAAGCTCGGTGCTCGCTCGGCGGGGGCTTCGACAGCGTATCAGCTTCGTCCTATGCAAAGACGGCCGGAGATTGTTCGGATATCGGGATGCCGTGCTTATCTTTTGTGGGTTGATGGGCGTTGGATGCCGAGAAATGATGAAGAATGTCGGGTTTGATCGGGATGGTGTGCTTGGCTTCGGTAGTTGGTTGTTCTTGTCAGGGGGGCTTGGTATCTTGGCTGTTAGAGGTTGGGAAGTACAGAGTAGATAGGTTGGAGCTGTAGATATTTTAGAGAGGAGTAATGTAATCGTCAATCATTAGAAATAGAGCTATGTACTTTATATCTTTACCCCTGGGCTAGATAGCAAGATGGCAAGTCCAAAGCCTGAGAATATACCAAAAAGAAGCGGTTGTATATAACCAACTTTGACCAATTTCGATCTATTACGGCAGAGCCAAGTAGCCAAGTTCATACTGCCGGTTGTTCTACCTGCAAATGACACTCATCCCAGACCTGACGAAGCATAGGCAGGTGAATACGATCGACATAGAAAAATCCCAACATGATAGAACGGGCCTCCTGCCACGAGTAGATTCCCTGCAGCCGCGCAGCATTGGCCAGTTCAGATACAAAGAAGGTCCGCTCTGACGGCAGGGTTAGACTGCACGCAGCGCCCATGAAAAGCTGCCAGAGGAGCAGGTCGCGACAGAGCGCGAATAAGCCCGTGTGGATGGTCGCCTCGAGCGCGGTGCGCAGAGCCTGGATCGGCTTAGGCAGCAACTGGCCGATCATTGGATAGAAATTCCAGATGGCGCTGTTGTGGAACAGCAGTAAAGCGAGACGGGTGCAGCCCTCGATGGAGTTGTCGCCCTTTACCTGGCCTGTTTCTGTATATCGATCCGTATGCAGTTGGTATTCTACGTGCAGCACTTCGGTGTTGAAGTAGTCCTCGGTCTCCTCGTTGAACTCTTTGTACCCGGTGTTGCCTTTGATCCATTCTGCATACCAGGATAGTTCGAGGAGGTCATATACGATTTGCGGCATGGCTTCGCCGAAGATGCCGGGGATTTTGAGTAGAGGGAAGAGGCGGGTAGAAAGTAATGCTACATCGTCGTTGGGTGGGATGAGAGAGAATCGCGCTGGGCGGCTGTAGCGGACAAAGGGGAATATAGGCTTGGCGTGGGCCATACAAGCAACTCGGATATCAGTCCTAATTGCGAGGTTAGCAAGCTTTTTATTTAACCATGACAGGGTATACCGACCATGAGATCTGGAACCGCACGTCTGAAGGAACATCGTCAAAGTTCTTTCGCAATGCGATCATCTGTCGCAAACCTGCTAGATGGATTTTGAGATAGTCGGGATTCCCTGACGCGATCTACAATCATGTATTAGCTTCGGGGATCACAGGCTTGATTTCGCAGGGTGTACTCACTTCAATTGTCAATAAGGTAGAAACTGCAGCAATCAAAACATCACTGGAAGCCTTGACTGGGTCTGACAGGCCCTCGTTGACCAGTCGAATGGTCTCGCCACGGTGGTGGAACGTGTCGATCACCAACTGACTCCGCTTTTGCTTCGGATCTCGGATGGGTAGCTCGCCTGCACGCATAGCGTCATTGGAAGACGCCATACAAATTGTCGCGTGCAGAATGGCCGGGTCGCGCTGGATCAAGGACGCCCAATGCGCCTGCAGTTTGGGCTTATACCGCGTCTGCAATGGGTGCGCTTCTTGTGTCAGATCCCAGAGGACTTTACCCGCGTTAGTATGCAAGCTCTAACATAGCATTATGGGGTTCAGTAAGAAAACACTCACAGACTCGCAAGTGTCGCATCATTCTATCTGTAAGCTGTGTATGCCCAGTATTAAAGGGATCATTAGCTCCTTGTCCCACGTAAGACCATGCGGTAGGTCCAGCGGGGTAGGCCATCGTCCCACCAAAGCTAGAGTCATCCCATGAGGCAGCTTGCGTCGCAGGGTATCCCACAGATGTTGATGTGACAAGCTCGTCGATCTGTTCTAGCTCTTGTTCATCTGAGATTTGACTGCTGGATAAGCTGGTGGACAAGCTGGCACGCGGACGGACAGGCGCAGCGGGTACGAGTGCCCCAGGGTTCGTCGTCGGGGGCTGATAAGGCGAGTGCTTCCATTTGCTCTTATTGTACTGTTCTGTGCTCTCCATTCGCTTCTTGCGATTATGCTCGGACATAACATGGGACCGAATCCGCTTTAGGGTCTCGTCCGTTGTACCTGCCGCTGCGGTTTGCTGATCGCTGTTGACCCAGAATAACGTCGATTTCCCCGTAGATGCATTGTTGTTTTTGCGGGGTTTGCGTACCCTAGTGGTCGTTTTTCGACTGGGAGCTGTGGGTGGAGGGGGAGGAGGAGGTGGTGGTGGTGGAGGATTTTGATGTGTTGAGGTCACGGTCTGTACAGTGTTGGAATCGAAGTGGATGGGCGCTGCATAAGGGGAGTGGATCGGATCGCCCGCCCAAGCCGCAGCCGGTGGCCGAGACAGCACGGGCAAGGTCTGCTCGTAACCCGGTAAGAGGTCCTTGGCATTCATCGAGCTTATCTGGACGTTCGAGGCATTAGGATGAGGGAGACCTGGAGGTTTAGAAGAGGACGAACTTCCTTTCCGGACCGGCGGGGTAGAAATCACAAGGAATCTGGATTCTTCACATTGCAGAACGAATCATCGAATCATCGGCCCCGCTAAGAGCGTTAGTGGAATTCGACAGGTTTATTTTAGGATGTTTTAGGGGGTTTATTCCTTTATTTTGTTCATCTTTTCGGAATCACAATTAATCATGCCTTTTCCTACAACGGTAGTTTCCAATATCCACTTGAGCTTGAAGACATGTTATTCACCGAGCTTGTTCTTTCTTAAGGTCATGTGGTATTGAAAAAGAGTGACAACACATGTGTGTAGGGGAGAACTCGACATCGTCATCTATTATGATCATCTCAAACACCTTAATAACTATGAAACACCCCAAATATCCTCTGTACGGGAATAAGTCTATACACAGATGATCTGCATTCTGGCCCCCTGAGAGGTCATTACGAAATATTTCCAACGGCTACAAATCACTACAACATAGACGTTAGGTCAAGATTTTGCGCCCCTGTCAGCACTAGCCTTGAATCTGTTAGAGCGGGCATCGTAAGCCCGGGACTGTGCAACTAAAAAGTTTCAAAATACTACGTGGATGATCATGTTAATGACCTTTTTGTTACAAAATTGTTATTGGAGTACAAATTACCTTCGATCTTTGAATAAGGAAGGTAATTACGTACGTGATCTGAGATCTACAATACACAACATACGATGTTGTTACTATCAGAGGCTACGGAAACACCCGTAGTCTACTCGATGTGGAGGCGATGTGGGGAGCAAGTGAGAGACAACGAATGAGATAGTCGAGGCAAGATAATCTAATAACAGACGTCGGTTTCATTCCGAGGCCATGCAAATGGTGTTGGGCCCCTAAATTTAGGTCATGCCAGGACGCGGGAAGACTGGCATCGTTTCCAGCTGTTCTAATCCACCCATCGTACCACTCTGCCCGCTGTTTTGCCAACCTTGTCCAGTCTGCTGATTAATAAACTGGCTCTGTCGGAAAGGATTGGTGCTACCAGTTGGGTTAGGCCGCAAGGGGGCAGCTGCTGGGGGTTGCAGACCTTGCTGCGGTGCAGGAGAAGCCCGCGCAAAAGGGTTGGTTCCCGTCCGCTGAGGCTGGATCGGCTGCGCTTGTGGTGGCTGAGGGAGGGGCACTTGCGGGGGTTGCGCAGGCTGAAATGGCTCGTTGGAGGGATTATATTGCGTGTTTGCTGCGGATAGTCGTCTCGCGAATGGGTTCGTGTTCTGTCGCGATAGAGGAGCGGCGGGTGGCTGAGCGCCCGTGGGAGTGTTGAGCATTGTTGACTGGCGGAACGGATTGGTGTGCTGGGGCTGCAAGGGTTGAGGTGCTTGCTGTTGTTGTTGAGGGAAAGCGGCAATTCCTTCCTGCGGAATAGGAGCCAATTGCGACTGGAAGCTATACGACTGCGGCTGAGGGGAGTACCCTCCAAATCCAGCGCCAGTTGGCATGGCTTGAAGTGGTTGTGGCGGCGGCGGCTGTTGCTGCTGCGGCTGCCCAAATGGATTGTTTGGGCCCTGTGCTTGATATGGCGCTGCATATTGGGTCGGCTGGCCATATCCAGTTGCCAATGGCTGCTGTTGGATTGCCTGTGGTTGCTGCTGAATCGCCTGAGGCTGCTGCTGGAAACCAGTCTGCTGGGGGTAGAATGGTTGCTGCGGCTGCTGTTGGAACCCTGTTTGTTGGTACTGCATTGTGGTCGGTTGCCCCATTGGCTGCTGGTTCTGCTCGATTGAATCAAAAAAGTCGATCAGATCCACAGGTGGTGGCTTCGGTTGTTCGGCCTGCTTCGTTGGGTTGGACGCCGGCGGGTTCGACATCGGTGTGTTTGGCATTTGCTTTGACACATCTGCGGTCGCACTGGTTTCCATGCTTGGTGGAACGCGTACACCTTTCTTAGCTAGGTACTCCCGTCGGCGAAGATCGAAATCAGGATCATTAAGATCATCTTCGAGAAGGCGCGCCAGGTCGGTGGAGGCATGCTTGAGCTTCGGGATTTCCAGGCGAGTGGCAGATTGGAAATGTCTGGCCACTCCCAAGAACTGGACCACTTCTTCCGTTTGTTTTGTGAACGTCTTGTAGATTGCCAGGGCGCGTATACTATCCGGCCGCGACATCTCAAAATAGTGTTCTATCGGGGTTCAAGGTTAGACCAATGCCGATCTGTGGAGGGGCTGCTGACTTACCCAAAACATTGATTGTGCCCTCATTCATGACCGAATATAGAGTCAATAGATCGAGTGTGAGGAGACGGAATGCGGTCAGACTGATCTCGTTCTCGGGCTCATCCGTCAATAGCTATACACTGTCAGTCACCAAGAAGAAGGCCCAAATTCGGAATTCACCCACATCACACCGCAGCAAGGCACGAATTTGCTTCTGTACAATTTCCGTCTCCCTCAATAGGCCTTTATCCACACCTATCCTCTTCAACCGCCCTGGTCCACTGCGTACATGATCCGTCTTGCAGGCTTCGAACGCCTTGGCACGCGTGATTAGGTATTCGGCATATCGTCGAATATTATGTCCCTGCGATTGGGCTGTAAAAATAGTTAGCAAGATGCGCTCACGTCCCTTTAAAGGAACTACTGATCTAACCTTCGGAGAAATTGCTGGGCGCGATCTTCTTTGGGTTATCGGACAAGTATCCCAGCGCAGCATCCAGTTGCCCCTCTCGAATCATGAGATGGAGGACGATAAGCGCCTTAAAAACAATGGTCCATGCCGAGTCTCGGAGCCGTATTTGGAGGGTTCGGAATACCTCTGCGACTCCTGCCTCGCCAGTATGAGTTGCCACAAGGATATTCTCTATGTATTTGGATTTAGGGGCCGCAAGCTGTTCGCGCCAAATAGTTAATAATTGTCGCATAAGGAAAAGAATAAGCTTAACATTCAGACTGACCTTGAGCTTCGTGGCCCCTTTTACTGACTTCTCAAATCCTCCGGGCATGTTGTGTTTGAAAGTCGCGAATCGGTGCCCAACTTCTTGACGGCTCAGGAGAATGCAAGTCTGTCAAAAGACAGTGGGAAAAGACTGGAGAGCCTGCTCCAAGAATCAATGCCCTTATAGTGTCCGAGAAAATCTTCAATCATCCGTATCGTTCATGACGTGGCTCATTGAGCCATGCTGTAAGCCTGGGGAAAGTGGGTGGATTTCTAGGGGAGAGGGGTCAAAGTCCGATCGGAACGACCGGGTTAGGAATTGGCGATCAATAAAAATCACAGAACGAATAGGGGCTGAGAAGCAAATTGAGGGATAAGGATACCAAGTAGGATAATCTCAAGGGTGAGGGCAAAGGGAGTTCCTGGGGCGGAGTGCATGTTCCTAGAGGCAATCCAAATTGGGACTAGCGCATGTTGGGAGTTCCGAGTGTGCACGAGGTAGTATATGAGTACTACAATACTACAATTCTACAACATACATATACACTAGATATCGGATCATATATGAAAGATTATAGTTTGTGAGAAATATGGACGATAACTCCATAACTGAATGGCAATGTTTTGAATATATCAGTGACTAGCGATATTATCTAAACCTTGTGACCTCATTTTTATACATTTATGTATTATATCATTATACACCAGCAAGACTTCCTCTATTTTGATTGCGGCTTATTTATATAAAGATTGCAGTCTTAATTATGTACTATTTTGACAATATTTGCCAATAAATATAATGTAGATAGCTAGTGGCCAGAAGTAAGCCGGGGAGTGCTCACAGGGAACCTGCTTTGCACAATTAAGGAAAACACGACAAAGCAACATTTCCTTCTCAATTTTTACCAATATTTGGATTGGATACAAAGAGGAAAGAGTAATATATTCTTCCCAGAATATAGTCAACTGGGCAAGTAGAAGAGTACTCTGTGGTATTGAGGTGTAAATCTAGGGCGCATAGCCGAACTATATATAAAGTCCCAAGTCCTAACTAAATGCTCCGCTTATGATTCCGTTATAACTAGCAGTCTTAAGCTAGAACTAAGATCTATACTATCCTGATCCCCAGGCTAATCAATTATACACAAAATCATTTATGTAGCCAGCAAAAAAATAGTCGACTTGTACATATCTGCCTCATCCGTCTAAGACGGGCAAAATGTGTGTACCAAGAACAGTGAGATCTCCAACTTCTACCTCATCCTAATATGAGAGGAGGGTCTGAAAAGAGAGAATATGACCAGATGTCTTTCGAGGCTAAAGATAGAAGGTTTGCTTCACTCCTTGCTTTTTTTAGAACAAAGCATAGTTGCGTACATGGGACTGAAAATATCTCTATTCCCAAAATGTTCGAGGGATGAGCTGGAGATCTCTCTCTTTTCTCCTCCAAGTCTGAGCCCCAAGGTCACCTGCACGCTTTTATCATTTGTTATATCCTTCTCTTGCTTTTCTTTTCTTTCTTCTCTTCTTCCCACCCTTGTGACTTTCATTCTTTTTCAATCATCCCCAATCCTCGCCTCTGGTCAAGGCCTCGGTCATCTTTAACAAACCACTATCCCTCTCATATTTTACCTCTTACAGTCTTGTGACTCCCTTGAGACCTTGTCCTCCGCCTTTCTCTTCCGTTGAAAATGGAGAACCAACCCCCACCCAAAAGACCCAAGTTACGGTGGGATGTCCCAATGCGACAAGCTCTTTGTTGTATGTACCGGTTTTTCCGATGCGACAAGATACAAAAAGAGGAGATCTTCTTCTCAATATTCCGTGACTATCTGAAAAGTCGTGGAATTCATCACTTTGTTCCAGGCAAAACGCTCCACGCACAGTGGCACTGGATGAGAAACACAGGCGATCTCGTCTGGTGTCGTGTCCATCGGGACACCGAGTTCAACACGGACGGAGAATGGAGGAACGTTATCCAACGAATTAAGTCCACTGCACTGACTCTGCGTCTTCCTCTCGTCGAGAAGACAGAGGATGATATCGACACTGCTCAATGGGGGACACGACTGGCAATGACCTTGGGACCGAGAACCGATTCCCCCCCGCAAACTCCTCGCAGCATAACATTCTCACTGCGCCAGCGAAGCGAAGAGGAAAGAAGTCAATATTTCGTCGAAAGTGATCATCAAAGCAGTGAGAGTAACACAATGACTGTCGGCCACAATCAAGAACAGACCGACCACCTTGAACAAGCCGACCACCTGGAGCAGACAGAGCACATGGGAAACGATGAGTCGGTCGTTACTAGCCATGGAAAGATATGTCTCTGGTGCAAGCATGGATTGCCAATTGACGAGATGGCTGGTCCCAATGACCACAGCCAGCAGAATGATCCCGAGGAAATCAATAGCCCTGACCAGGACCAACAGCTTCAATGTCAATATCAAGAACTCCAGTGTTGGGGCTATAATGAGCAAGACCAACCTCACCGCCATGGACAAGGCCATCACCGAGACCTTGAGAAAGCAATGCACGGAGTTCCCCCTGAGGATATGCCACCGTTGCTGTTTCGTTGGTCAAACCGTGACTCTCAAGGAGTCAACTCAAAGACCGTTCTCCTAGCGGGCCTTTTCTGCAATGGGGAATGCTCTAACCCGGAAGACTTCTCTGAAGACCAGTTCGAGAGCTTCTTTCGAAGCCATGTCACCAAGGAGAAGGTCAGGACACCATTCATTTCGACTGCTCGATCTCCTTTGGCACCTTTTCACCGTGCAATTGCTGGTCAAAATGGCGCCTTGCTGACTATTATCGACACGTCGAAGCTGCAAACGAAAGTCTTTTATGCCCATCCGCTTGCGATTCGGACTCGGACTTTAGTATACAGGGGCTGGCAGGGCTTTGGGGAGTACCTCATCTGGGGCCGTGTCCCAGCTGAGGCAATTGCTTTCAGCGTGGGGATCACTAGTGTTGAACACATCACACAATCCCGCCGCGATTTAAATCGCCTGATGCAAATCCCAGTCATCCGCAGCAGCAAACGCTGCGATGACAAGCTGCGTGATATGCTGGCTTTGAAAAGGAAGTCGCCTTTCCAATCTGGTCGAACTCTTGGGAAATTGTTAACTCTTCTCCAAGTTCCAGCGATCCACTGGGAAAACCTGGCCTCTGAGTTTGCCAAGGCATGGGGTTGGAGACATAAGAAAGAGGCTGCTGTGTTTCAGAGCGGAATTCGAAGTGGACCACCATACATGCTTGAGGAATTGTCAGATTCTGAATGTGAGGTTCCATGGCCCACACCTCAAAAGACACCTGGAAAGACCTCCCAGAATATGCAGTTCTCATCTGACTACGTTTCCGATGTAGACTACGAGCCACCTGAGACCGACGAAGACTCGGGAGGGATATCTGAGCCGGAAGGCGTGGACGAGTCTCGATCCATGACGATCTGCGATATGAGCGAGACATCAGATGACGAAAAGTTCTCAACACATGAGACGCTGTCCAGTGGGATTTTCTCTGAGAACGATCACCCCGAACCCTCCTCGGGGCCGGTACATCATCAAGAGGTAATCGACCTTACCTCGGATAACGAGGATACTAGTTCTCAGCGGGCATTGCAACGGGACTGGCCATCCGACGATGATGAATATATGTACCCTGATACGCCTACAAAGATTGGGAGAAGGATCCCGCTGCAATCGGGAAATAGGACCAACCACAAGCTTCTGCTAAATGGTCATCTGGATATGGACGTTTTTGAGAAAGTCCGAAACTGGGCTTACCACGAAAACCAACATAAGGATATTTGAAATGCCACGAAGAGAGAACCCATGCTTGGCGTGCAAGAGAACATTGAGCGATCTTGGTTTGGCGCAGCCATGTGAAGATGAGGAAGCCCTAGTCAATATGTCAATATGCCTTTGTGATATTAGTTGAATGAAAATCTCCTGATGATGCTGTCTGCTCGAACGTATGTAATGTATTGCCTGTAAGAAGCATCTACAACACCTGGAGGTACCTATCATGTACATCCATGAATAAAGCAAATGAAATGGGCATATTGAAGATTCCACCTTACTAGACAACCAGGCAAGTAGGTTTTATGCAACCCAACTAGGAAGATAGCCAATAAATGCCCGAAATGAGATCAAAACCAGGCCTACAGATAGCCAAATGACAGCCCTTTCCTTAAGTGTGTGGTTTGTCATTACCACAGAGAACACATACTGAGATCCTACTGTATCAATGTTAGACTTAGAAGAGCAAGCATATAACTCGAGATGCGCATTGAGAGGCTCTGTCCAGATTGCCATGCATGGTCAATCTTGCGTTGTACCAGAGTTGTTGTACAGTTTCCATCGCAGGAGGGCCGAACAAATCATTTTGATTTTTGCGTGGATACACATTCATCAGCGAGGTATCTGGGACATGGAAACTCATAAACTATCCCGACCCCCATCCAAGAACTTCCCGTATATCCAGTCCATACCGCTTCCTTCGCCTTCAAAACACCCGGTTTATTAACCTAGAACTTGGAGAAAGACTTGACAGCGCGCGAGGTCTTGGCGTGAACCTTCAGAACGTTGAAGCGAACCTATATAGAAATTTCGAGTCAGTTATCAAGTTCGGAGAAAAACAATGTGCACTGCCAAATTCGAAGTGTTGTAGTAGTGCAAGAGAGTGTAATTTTGCAGACTTCCAACAGTGGCGAAAATTGACATGGATGAACGTACAGTCTTGCTGAGAGGACGGCACTGGCCGACGGTAACAAGGTCACCCTCCTCAACACGGAAAGCGGGGGAGACGTGGGCAGAGAGGTTCTTGTGGCGACGCTCGTAACGGTTGTACTTGGGGACGTAGTGCAGGTATTCGCGGCGGATGACGAGGGTACGGTGCATCTTGGTGGAGACTGTAGATAATTTCGTTAGAAAATCCCCTTGTCTTGTAAAAAGACAGATTTTATCCAACTTACCGACTTTGCCGACGAGGACACGGCCGCGGATAGAGACCTGGGAAGTGAAGGGGCACTTCTTGTCTGTAAAAGTTCAAAAATGAGTAATTTGACACATGAAGAAATTGGTGATTGCGGGTATTTTTTTGGCATGAGTGGTCTTTTCGAGGTTCGAAAGTTCGTGTATTGAATGCGAATATTGGCGAGAGAGGGAAACGACAGAGATTCCAGGCCCCTCAATTGCTCCATGCGATCCTCCATTCGCCCTTTGTTTCCTTGAAAAGACCACCCACCCATAGATTCTGGCACCATATTTCGAATAAAAACTCAGCGGAGGTCGTGCATACCGATGTAGGTTCCCTCAATGGCGGTCTTGGGGGTACGGAAACCGAGACCGACATCCTTGTACCAGCGGCGGCCCTGGGCAGTCTTCTTGGACGAAGCCTTGGCCTTGGTGTTAAGGAAGATGTGAGGCTGCTTCTGGAAAGCGCGCTCCGACTGGACGGTCAACTCGGTGGCCATTTTTGCGGTGTTGTTCGACGAGGAAGCGGTGTCGAAGAAAGGTCGGGTTGGCGGCTGTCGAAGATGAGGAAGATTCGTTGCCCGTCGGAATCTTTGGTAATTCGTAGTGTGCGAAACTAGTCCCAATCGGGACTAGGCTAATTGGGGTTAGGGCTCTGCGCTTTTGTTTACATCACGTGACTGCGGAGGCAACGCGCTTTGGGCAGGTGCGATAGGAGCAGATTACAGGCTCAGGTTTGTTGATCTGGAGATCTTAACGTTCAGATTTACGGAATATGCAATCTTGAATCGATCTGTAAATGCGCCGATTTGACCGCCGACAATGTCAACTCGACCCGACTCCGCGGCTTTGCGACCGCCACGATCTCGCCGGTCTATCGCTCATGTCCCGCGGTCTAGGATGACGTCTGGTTTGGACAAGGAGAATGCGACAACTGAGATTGGCGCAGCTCAGCCATTTTCGAATAATACAAAGCCTGCTGTGAGAGACAAGAAGTCTCGGAGCAAGAGTTTGGGGCCCGGTGGGCTTGATGCCCTCCAGACTTCTAACGGCAATCGCCGCCAGGTAGCTACCAACGGAACACGCGCGCATACGAAGAACAATTCTGACTCAAATATTCATAGTCTACGGCTTCTTTCCCACTAAAATCCATCCTTAAACCTACAGTCCCTGTCTCTCCAGTGCGAACCATCCCGTCATTTGAGGAAACACGCCGACGTACACCAGCTCGCAGTAAACAGCAGACCCATGACGGCACGATGGACGGACAGGGCCAAAAGGACCAAGGAAAAGAAGGTCTTTTGATTGACTTTGCAACAACACCAGGACCTCCCACGCGAGAAAATGACAATGATGATACGGCGAACCCGTTTGATACATTTAATGCGACTTCCGCCATTCGCGAGGAGATGGCTGCTACCAAGGAGCGCGACGAGCAGGAGCGCAAAGATCGCGAGCGACAGAGTATCCTAGAGAAACGAGCGGCGCGGAGGAAGTCAATGGGTTCGTGTGTCCAACTTTATCATAGAAGTGAAAACTGACACATTTATGCAGCAAATCGCCGAGTATCCTTTGCCCCCGAGGCAACTCTACACACCTGGAACGTGGTGGAAATTCCGGACGACTCAACCTCCTCCTCTGCCGCCAACTCAACAAGACGCGCATCTGCTGCCGCAAACTCCCAGAATCAACCTGCCCCTATCTCGCCCACCAAAGATGCTCCATCTTCGCCAGCAGAGTCGGAATTCGGATTTTCCCCTGTTCGCACACAAGATCTAGACCAGATAAGAGACCGTCCATCATCTGGGGGTGGCGACGATGGCCAGGATTTATCTTCTAGTCCGTTCAGCGGTAGCTCGGTAGGAAGCGACGACACCGGCGCCCAAAGCCTGGCCGGAGAAGAGGACGATGGCGATTCTTCAGACTCCGACGATGGGTTTGATGCCGAGAGTACTGCGATGAGCATGGATGATATGACCGCGCGCTCAGGAATGAGTGTTCAATCAGACGCAACTTCTAGCTCAAGCTCTAGTGCCAGACTCAACGAAGCATTGCGCCAGGCCGCACACGAAGCGGGAACCGAACTTGATGAGGACGGAGAGATGTCAATGGAAATTGCGGATCAAGAAATAACCGGTGCTTTCCAGCCGTGGATCAAAAAAGGCCAAAGACAAAGCTTTGACTGGGGAGATATTAGCGCACGACATGACGAGGAGAACATTGATCCATCCAAGGATGCGACTATTCAAGGTTTACCAGGATCAGATGATATCGACGAGGACGAAGATCTCAGCATGGACGTGACGAATGCCGTAGGACGCATTCTCGGCAAGTCTCCCGGCCGTCGCCAGAGCACGGCTCGTCGCCAGTCCGTGGCAGAAGAATCTAACTACGGAGATCAAACTATGGAGATGACCAATGTTGTCGGTGGCATCGCGCAGGATGATTCGCCATCAAAGTTCTCTGAGATTGACAACGAAGATGAAGGCATGACAATGGAATTCACTTCGGCCGTTGGCAAAATCTTGGGCAACCAGCCTACTTACGCCTCCAACTCTGATCAGATGAATTCCGATCAAGAAAATGAGTCTGAGGATGGTATGGACATGGAGATGACTGGTGCGATTGGTGGTATCCTACAGTCAGGGATCGAAGCCAACGACAAAGTGCACGCGAAAATGGTCATGGAGCTCGAAACTGACTCTGGTCAGCTGGCTAGCTCGCCTTTCCAAGATAATGTTCGGCAGTCTCCTGCCAAATCCCCTGCTAAATCACCTCTGCGTTATCAAATTGCTGCTGTTGCATCCGAAAATGGGAGCCCCAGTTTGGCAACTGTGCGGGCTAGGCCTTCCCGGCGTAGCTCCACCCCATCGTCGGGCACGCCAAGGTCTGCCAGCCGGCAACGATCACCACACACGAAGCCATTGACTCCGCCCAAACAGTCTACCCCCCAAGCGAAACCTACCACCCCAAGCAAGACACCTCCCTCCAGCAATGTTACTTTTAGAAGTGCTTCACCAAGGAAGCTCTTCCAGCCAGAGCTCCACCAATCAGCAGATAAGCGCAAGTCTCTACGCCAAAGTCTGTTCGAGCATAACAAAGCAACGGGAGAGTCGACCCCACTCTTCAAATTGCAACCACGCGGGGCCCGTCGCTCTTCTGGTCTAGGTATTGACAAAGAAGGTCTTGGATCTCCTCGCGTGGCGGCCTTACTTGACAAGCGCCAATCGCTTGGCGATAGTACACCTCTGTTCGTTCCGCAAGAACAGCTTCGATCCGGCGTACGATTCGAGGATCCTTTGCAGCTGCAGGCGGAGGAAGAACGTGAACGAGAAGAAGAGGAACTCCGAGAGGATGGCCAGATCACGGGTTCGCAGTCAGATCGGGACGTAACCCCAAGCTTGAAGGATATGATATCAAATATGAGCCCGAAGAAGACTAGGATTGGCAGCCGTAAGAGTCTTCATGTAGGGGCTGCTCGCGGGGTTTTGGGCAAGCGCCCTGTCGAGCTGGACTTGGATGAAGATGAAGTGGAGACGCCGCCCAAGCGACTGCGTGGCCACAATGTCAGCCCCGTCAAAGGCGTTAAGTTGCCAACACCGATGTTCAGGGAAGGCAATACCCGTCGATCAATGCCTTCACCCGTCCGTAGAGCTGCCAGCTCATCGCCTCCAAAGGGCAGCACCACGCCTTCCCAGCAACCACAGAGTGCTTCCCAGACCTCGACAACTCCTCTCAAGCATGGCATTGATGCTCTTCATATTGCTTCTGATCCTCAACAGCCAGAAGAAGAGAATACTCCTACCGAAGAATCCCCTGCGGAAATTGAGTCTATTCAGTTACAGGACTTCTTGAAAATGACCAACATTCATTTCATGGAACTTACTACGACAAAAAGACGACAAACAACTGCCCCTGGCAGTGCTATCAAGAAGCTGACACGCCCCTCTGGCGAGAACATACCTAAACCAGGCTCCATCACATTTGACGATTGTGTGGCAGCTGGGTTTTGTACAGTTCCAATGCTTGAACTGTACCAGCATGTAAGTTTTATTATACACGGATACACTTGTTTTTGCTCACACTGTCTCTAGTCGTGTCGGGAGTTGAAATCCTATATTTCCGAAGGACGGCAAGTGATCCGCTCCATTGAGGCAGAAACATATGCCGAGAATCCAGCTCTTTTCAAGGAGTATGTCACCGCTCCGCCAGATATCCGAGTGATCATGGACAATCAATTCCGAAACGTCAAGACCCATGCCCGTCTGCTGAGTAAGGCTACATGGTACGAATGGCGGATGAAGTTGCTTGAGGGGCTGAAGGAAGGGCTCATTCGCCACGTGGAGGAAATGAAAGCGGACGACGATTTGCTATCTGAACGAGAAGAGTTGCTCAACAGGAACGTGCCGCTACTTGTGGAGAAGCACGCCTCTCTCGAGCAAGAGGCAACCAACCTACAGCAGTTGGTGGAAGAGATGGAGAACTGTGATCAAGATGAGCTGCGTAGTACGCGCAGCAAACTGTCTGAGGTGGACTCCGAGATTGCAGCCAAGAAACGCGAACTTGAACGGTTGCAGGCGGAAGTCCAGGAGAAGACTAGATTCATCGAGGCTGGAGCCGAAATGCGGGATGAATTCCTGGCTCAAATCCAGGAGGCAGAGCGCGTGAAGGAAGAGTGCCGTGGCTGGAGTGCCCGGGATATCAACGAATTGAAGGGTGAGCTTCCCCCCCCCCCCCCCCCCCCCCCCCCCCCCCCCCCCCCCCCCCCCCCCCCCCCCCCCNCTGACTACTGGGAAAACTAGCCTCCGTCCAGCGAATTCAGCAACAAACCGGGTGGTCAATCGTTTCGGCCTCCACTTCTTCGGATGTATCGGGGGGACCTTTATTGAAGATGGCTTACCGGGACCAGCTCGAATTAGAGTTCTATCCTGGAGCTTTTGCCTCCAAAAACAGCGGCCAAGACGAGGGAAAGAACTACCCGATGGAACTGACCCCCCAAAAGAATGCCACCATTTCTCCCATTGCATCCTTGGTCCTTCACTCGCTACAGCACCACCTGGCTACCATCCAGCAATCCACTGTCCCACCTAAGCAGCTCTTGCGCTTCATCTCTAGCGCATGGGACCGCACGGTTGGGCTGGAGAACGAAGCACGCATGCTGGAATTCTGTGGTGTCACCCGTCTCACCCTATCCAAGCCCGATGAGGGCTCCCTATCTCTACGTACACGCTGCACTCTGCTCGGCAACGTCGCCGGCTCTACACCTGGCCGTAAAGGCACTGCTTTGAAGAACAACAGTGCCAAGAGAATCGATGTTGACTTTACTGTTCGTACCCGCATTGATAAAACTAATGCAGAGAACACCATCGGTGTCTTGGACTTTGATATTGACGTTCTGGCGACGAAGGTCTATGGTTTCGGAACAGGTAGCAAGTCCGGTATTCCAGACAAGGAGTTGCAGAGCATTCTCGGCAAAGGCCTTGGTCAGGATAAAGACGGTGATGTCCAGCTAGGAAACGGTGTGTGGTGCAAGGCAGTGCGCACGCTCACAGGATCTGTGTTTTAGTTTTCGAATATTTGCTTTGTTATGATTCGGTTATAAGATGGGTTAGGTTTGCATTTGGGAAGGCGCAGGGTGAATCTTTTTCATACCCTTCTTGGGTTCAATGGGGCGGAACAATGGGATATTTTGACTTCGGGATCTGGCTGGGCGTTTCTTTTATACCTAGTCTATTGTCATATACATTGATTGAATCATTTGTTTTCTATTCTTGATTTCTTTTCTTTACAAGTCAGAATCGCACTTCTCACAGGGTCATTCTCTCTCCATGTGACACTCAAGTGGAACAAGCTCTTGCTGACAATCTGTCTACACGAGATCCCCCAAAGCTGGAATTTATTTCTATTATACCACACTAATAGTGGCTATATCAACATTCATGAATCTTGGCTAATGCATATACTAATAAGAGAGTAGAGAGGTTGCGTTTAGGAAAGTATTAACGACAACGCTAACAAGAACAACAAACCCGGAAAAACAAAGACGCCCCCGATTAATCTGATCCTAAAACAACCCTAAAAACCCATTAGGCCAGACCGGATCAGCGGCCTGATTCGGATCCTCCTGACCCTGCGGCACATAACCATACCCCAGACTCTGAGGATCGAACCCACCAGCCTGAGCCGTCTGGCTGTCAATAGGTGGCGCACCATGGATAAACGACTCAGCCGATAGGATCGGCACGGAAGGGTATGCATCAGCAGACTGAGTGCCCGTTGGAATCGGGGGCGGAAAGGTGTACTCTGTTGGGAAGAGTCCGCCGAATAGATTTCTGCCGTGGCTCCAGTCACCCGACATTGGGTACTGGAAGAAATCGGGGATTGAGTTGGCGGCGCTGGTGAAGGAGTCTGGGGAGTTGATGGAGTTGATGGGGTTGGGGGTCATGCCTGATGACCCTGGGGCTTGGGCTTGGGCTTGAGCTGCAGTCGTGGAAAAGTCATGAGATAATTGCCAAGATGGGATTTGTGGTGGCTGGAAGGGGTTGTCGCCTGCTTCGTGGAGGAATGTGGTGGAAGGTGAGTATGGATTGGTGAGATATGGGGTTGGAATTTGGCGGCTATCCCCTGGGCCTGGCAATGGGCTCACGGGGACGACGTAGCCGGAGGAATTGACTGGCGGAAGGCCTTCTAGGGTGTCGGGGATACTGATGTCCATCCTGTTGAGCTCGGCGGTGCTTGATGTTGGATACCCGGGTGCTGTGGCGGGGGTCATTGTTGTGCGGAGAGTTGTGGGTCGGCGGTGTTGCCTTTGGTGTTGTGGTGCTGGTTGTGTTCGAGAGGTGTGCCTCTTGGCTGGTGGTGGTTTATATTCTTGGTCTTCTTCGTCTGGGGCGCGGGCTCTTTTCTCGTCTTTCTCAATGACTGCTTTGGCGATGCGTTCGAGGGATGCGCTCATCCGGGCCATGAAACCGGCGTAATTATTTGACCCCTCACCTGGGGCGAGAGTTGCAAAGAACGATGAAACCATGCCGATGGATTGAAGGTCTGCTCGCACTCTCGAATGGCGAGTATCCCGCAGAATATGTGAGAATAATGTTGATGCTGCTAGGAAGACGTAGTATAATAATGACCTGGGGTTTGATTGTGAGAAATACGACTGATATAGATGAGGAGACTGTTTCACTTACCAGGTCCATGCGATGTCTCCCCATGGCATGTTATTGACAACCTTCAAGGTATCTCTGGCAGCCTGTGCAGCGATGGCTGCTGATCTTGAGGCATGTGCTTTGCTGATTGACTGAACCTTCTCTGATTCCTTTCTGGCTGTTACCATGTAGTTAAGAAAGATAGGTATTCGGTGAATCATCATCAAAGCATTGTGATAGACGAAATGGAGACCAATGGCGGCAAAGCCAAACAGAAAGTCGCGTTCAGTAGGTTTCATTTGCGGTTCATTGAGCGTTGGGGATCCCCGTTTCCATTCTTCAAGCTCTTCATGTAGTTCTTTAACAGTCTTGTAAATTTCAGCAGGAGGTTTTTCTAATGCCGTAACGGAGTATAGTCGGCTGTAAATGTGGCTCTTGATGAGCGACATCTGACAGAGCTCGCGGAAGAATGGAATTTTGCTTGCGGTTTCACCATGCTTATCGCCGTCCAGTTCTTGAGGAAGAGGGACATCGAAATCATCATGATGTTGTGATGGGGTGTTTCCAATTCTTAGGCATGTACTGGAACATCGTCTTTAGTACTTGAAACGACATCTAAATGGACTTTTCTTACCTTTGATCAATGACAAATGCAACCCAAAAAACGCGCCGTCTCTCCTCTTGCTCGGCCGGACTAAGTTCCGGTCTTGCAATATCTCGATGAAGCCCCATTCGGTGACTGGACCGCATAGCCGCAGTGATGAGTGGTAGAGCTGATTGAGTTCCGGAATTCCCCCGAAGGAAGAACGCCTTTGCAAATTGTTAAATGCTTCCATAGAACCAAGGGAGAAGGAGACGCACCATGCTAATCAAAGCCTGTATACTCAGTAGATCGGTGCGTTTTAAGGCTAATTCCGTGAAGACCGACATGGCGTTTTTAAAGTATAACTCGGATTTCTCCTTGTCCTTTTCCGACATGGAGCTATTCGAGGATCGGTATTCGTATGCCAGGCAGATTACCATGTTGATGTTGGCCCAACGCGCAGCGTCATCACAGGTTTGCTGTGTATATTGCCATTCAACCATTTTCATGAATGATGGCTCATGATAGATAGGAAACAGACGGTTGACCGTCCGGAAGAAATCTTTCATAAGAGAGAATACCTCCGACCTTGAGGGTAAAGGCTTAAAAACTTTCGAGGCAAACAGATCATGGAACACGTCTGGTCGCCACTGATTCCAGGGATTTTCATGAAGGGATTCAGGAGATATAATTCGCAAGAAGCTGACATCACCTGTTTTGCTCTTAATCCATTCTATACCTGTCCGCGATAGAATTGACAATGAGGACGATGTCCCTGTTCGTTGAGTTAGTCTCGGCGGCCTTGTATCATATCGGTCGTACCCACCGTAATATCGAGAATCATCTCTTTGGTCCGCCGGGAATATGGGTGTACCCTCAATGAAGCCACCCTTTGAGCAAACAGACGACCCGAAATTTGATTTTGGACTAGAAGTAGATGAGAAGCCTTGACTAGCTGGTCCGTCATCATCTCCGTCGGAAAAGTCGTCTTGGCTCAAATCGCTCTCCTGCAAGATGCCTGCCGTCCTCAACAACGACTCAACCCTTACGAGGCGGTCTTTCAAAGACCTGACATACTCGTCATTACTGTGATAGAATTAGTCACGATTGACAAAAAATGAGATCGAGAATGGCAATGAACACCGATATCGCCGTACCTTTGGCGATCATCCCGCTTCTCATGCTGGGCCGGAAAGACACACGGCGTATTACGGCGCATGCATTGCACGCAAATGGAATTAGACCTTTCAACCTCACACTTGGTCTTTTTCCGATGGCACATCTCACAAGCCTAGAAAGATGTCATACGGCCGTCAGCAACGCTAGATTCCCGAACCGGAGTCGCCCGGAATAGTGGAACTCGGGACGACAAGTAAAACCCACCCTCAGTTGTTGTCCTTTCCATAGCGCAGAATCCATGGACAATGAGTTCTGGGAAGATGACTGGTTCATTGCCTTGATGGCCGACGGTTGTGGATTGCGTGGGAGTCATGAATGTTCATGCCAAGACTTTGCAGAAAAGTCGCCCCAGCGGAAATGGCGAGGACTAGCGGGAGATCTTTATTCCTTATTTGGATCTCTATTTTCGATGTCTATCTATAAGTAGAATGTTCAGAATCTGCAGAGAAAGTGAAAATAAAATCAGATGAATAATCAAAGTCCACGGATGGTCAACGGATGTCGGGACTCCCGAATTCCGTTATTCTGTGCTTTTCTCCGGGTGCTTCAGTGGGCCGGCGGGGTTTCTGTTCATCGCTCACCGGCTTTTGCTCCATACAAACCCTGAATTTCACCTTTCAAGGTTGATCTCATGAAAGGTAGATTCTCACAATCAATATCAAATGACACAAGAGTGGACTGCCGCACATGCGGCCTCCATCCTCAATGACGTAGGGCATCCTTCAATCCTGATTTATCTACCCAGGTAGTTCAAGAGATATTAAGGACGTGAATGTAAGATAACACTCCGATCTCTTTTGAAGGTGGTCACTTTTGATATATTTAGGTATTTCTTCTTCTCGGTGTTGGAATTAAAAGATAACGAATACGAAGCACGTAGGACGGAGGAAGCATACGAGGCTTATCACTCTACGATATACGGTATACGAAGATGGTATAAAGCATACATCGTAGAGGATTTTTCCATGTATAACAAGCGATTGATTTCATTCTTAATGCTCCACGGTCCACACTCTCTCATGGTGAGAAACGGCTGTGTAGCGCCTCTCCACGAATGATCAAGGTTTCCTTGCATGTATTCGAGGTTTTTTCGGGGATGGCTAGCGAGTGGTAGATAGATCTCATCCTTGTCTTGTGAAATTGTTAGATTTCTACAACTGCTTATCAATATGAGAACATTCAATGGGATATTATTACTAACTTACTGGTCAAGAGGACACTGCCGGGACTTCGCATCATTCATGACATGCAACCATATGTGCAGCTTTTTGTCGGAGATTCTCGGGGGTTTCTGATCTTGGTGCGCCGCCTTCACCCCTAGAATGTCGAAGATTTTGCGGATAAGTCCGAGATATCCATCGGTATACGCAGTCATTTGGTTATGGCCTAAAGACAGATAGTACCGAATAGTCTGCAGCCGGAAATTCGTCGACAGCCTACAGCCGGGACGTAGATTGTAAAAGTTATAGGAGGATTATCGGAAACCTACTAATTACTTGTTCGTCGGTTGTTCTGCAGAGTATGGTTCATTCTATATCCGCTGTAGCTCTCAGAATCGTCGGTAGGCTAGTAGATCCAGAATCAATGCTGATTGCTGAGCTCTGAGCATGCCCAGAGCTAACCACCTGGATGGAGGGCGATTGTCGAAATTGTGGCCCAGCTGACTGATGCGAGGTGTCTGTCGTAATATCAAGCACCTCGGGGGTGGTGGCAGAGCAGTAGTCGATGTAGGTACGAAGAAGGGTCGATTCTGTAAGAACGAAAGGGAAGAGATGTATATACCCAGAACTATTTGTTTGCTAGTTAGTGATAGATAACTCTCCGGGGTCGTTTTGGGGGGCTTCTCTTATATTCCTCTTATATTTCTCTTATATTAGATATTCCTCACTGTTACAACTATAAGGATACCTAGGTAATTATTAGCTATAGAAGTGCCAGGGATAGTAAGGTTGTAGTCACTTCCAAGGTTCCAAGGTTGGGACCTACCCAGGTCCACGGGTGGACCCTCCACGTCTTTGGCCAATGTGGGGCCGGAGTATTCGGGCTGCCGTAGGCCGAAGCACTAACTTGCCAGTCATCACATCACTACATCTGGTCCTAAGTTAGCTAACAGTCAACCTTCAATCAACCTTCTTCATTCTTCTGAGTGGTAGACAAAAGTTCCATGAGATGGACCACAAGACCTAGACAGCGTTGTGTATTCATACATATTCACCTTGCATCTTGAAAGTGAAGCGCCAAGGTTATCGGTACCAAATCATGGATGTCAATATTGCCCCCTCGCACCTGGTTCCAATTGCTCCCGCGCCGGTTCGGACACCTCCCGTCACTGTCCAAAATAGTCCTAGCCCCAGGGTGGCCACAATGCGCTTCAATTGCCAAACTTGCGTGCGTAAGAAAATAAAATGCGACAAGACGGTGCCAGTATGTTCGGGCTGCAGCAAAGCAAAGCTCCAGTGCATCTACCAGACTCCCCCGCCACGAAAGAGAAAGAGAGAGCGAAGCCAGTTCGAAGATGTACAGGAGCGATTAGCGTGGTACGAGCGCATTTTACACGACAACAATCTTCTCCATGCATCCTCTGCGTCGACCCCACACGGGAAGAAGACGGAGGCATCAGCGGTTTGCACACGGAACCTAACCTCAATGCCGGACCCGCAACCTGCCACCTCGGGTAAACTTCTATCTGCCGATGGCAAGTCTCGCTATATTGACAGTGTGCTACTTGATGGTGGACAGGGCGACCTGTGTGAAGTATCCAATTCCGACCAGGATGACAGCCATCACGAGGACATCAGAGCTGATGAGAGCACCCCGCCAGGTCTCCTGGGCATTCTTGCAGCGCACGCCATCTCTGGGGCCATACTTGGAAGCACGCAAAGCATCACCGGACAACACCCCGGCTATGAGGAGGCAAATAAGCTATGGAATGCGTACGTGCAAAACGTGGAGCCTTTGTGCAAGGTTCTTCATATTCCGACTGTCGCAAAAATGGTCAAAACCGTTTCAAAAGAACCCTCCATGGCCTCAAAGAGCGACGAATGCCTGCTTTTCGCCATATACCATTTCGCCGTATTCTCCATGTCGGACGCTGACTGTTTGCGAGAATTTAATCAATCGAGGAATGATTTGATTTCAAAATATCGGACCGTTGTGTACCAGACACTTATCAATGTATCGTGGCTGAACACAACATCAATGCCGGTACTACAGGCTTACACACTATTCCTCATTGCCATGCGCACTCAAATTGATTCCGACACGTTTTGGATTTTGACAGGTATTGCCATTCGCCTTGCACAGCGTATGGGGCTTCACCGTGATGGTGACACCCTCGGGTTGCCACCATTTGAGGTTCAGATGCGACGGAGACTGTTTTGGCAACTGCTTCCGCTTGATAGCTATGCAGGCCAGGTTTGCGGCACTGGTATCCTTATATCACCCAATAGCTGGGATACTAAACAACCTTTGAATATAAACGATGATCAGATTTTCCCTGGTATGACGGAGCCGCCCCTCGAACAGAGAAGCGCCACAGAAATGATTTTTTGCTTATCTCGGATGGAACTGTCCAATTTCTATACCCGAACTGGCGTCAAATTGAAAGAGATTGGTGCGACAATTCAGTTTAGGGATGCAGAGGACATTGAGAGACTTATTAGTGAGGTCGAAGACCTCATCGAGACTAAATTCCTTCGATACTGCGATATCTTGAACCCCTTGCACTTTCTCACCACTGGGATCACCCGATCTGCGATCGACGCTGTTCGACTGCGGGCTCGAATGCCGCTCCTGATAACGCAAACCATCACAGACGCGCAAAGGAGGGATATTTGTGCGCTCGCTGCAAGAATTCTCGATACAACTAGCGCCATCTACGGCAACCCCAGCATGCAGAAGTATCGATGGCAAATAAAAGCTTTCTACCTGTGGGACGCACTTCTCTGCATTCTACGTAGTGTGGCAGATGTCGGATTCTACTCAACCTCGGAACTTGATACTTCTTGGAACAAGGTTGCAGATGTCTATTCAAATCACGAAGAACTTGTCAAGGGCAGAAGAAACCTATATGTCACAATCGGTAAGCTCACTCTTAAGGCCTGGCTTGCAAATCCCCCAAGTCAGTCATCCCCAGAGCCGGTTTTCATAACCGCGCTGTGTGCCCAACACGAAGCCAAAGTGAGCAGGCAACAGGAGAGCATGGATGAAAGCGTGGGGACCACAACGCTTTCGGACGGCGCATATGATTTTGATGAAGTCTTTGGCAACATTGATGGGACAGGCCTGAATTTAAATGGCGGCTTTGACCCTTCAGATTGGGTCTTCTGGGATCAGCCATGTTGAAAAACTAGCCTAGGCTTTGATTTAGCCTCCGGCATCGGGGGTTGGGGAGTTTAGGGCCAGAAATCTGCTCAAAGTCTGCGTAGACTTTATATAACAATGAGTTTATAGCTATGTTGTATGTTGTATTTATATAGCGATCCGCGCCCTTTCTTGGGCCCCAGGCATAGGTATCAACCCTAAAAAATCAGGGATTTGACCTTTGGCCGTTCTGCCCGCAAACGCGGCTATTTTAACTGTGATTCTTTTCAACCCGAGCACGGAGATCTTTCAGTATTACTTGAAAATCATCACCCACAACTGTTCTACGGCCCCCCTGATCATAATACCCTTAATTACGTCCACAACTGGACAGGACCTCTTCCCTGCAAAAGGTTACATTACTCATGGTTTCTAACCTTTCAAACCAAAATAACATCTAGACAGCCCACTGCGTCCAACACAAACCTCACACATCGCAATCCACCTCTGACTTAACCGGCAGCAAATCTAGAAGCGGCACGGAGCTTAGGCCCAAAGAAATAGAACGCAAAAGGTGCCGACCATCCAATAGCCATGGTAATGAAAGCCAGAACGCTCGTGCCCCAGCCATAGCCGAGAGATGCATACATATACGGAGCAAAGAGCGGGAACCCGAAGCCACACAGACTGCGCAGGATGGCACAAGCCGCCATGGCACTAGCCGCGTAGGTTTCGTAGCTGTCGACGATATATGTCTGCATACCCTGCAGACATGAGATCGTTCCTGCTGTGAAGATCAGCGCCCCAATGTTGGGCATGATCCAGTGGGTATTCCCGATACTCCAGCCGTACCAGAAGAGACCAATGGTGCTTACGACAGAGCCCACGGCTAACGACGGCATGCGGTACTCGGGCTTGCCAACGTTGTTGTTCCGCGCTTTGAGGGTCCTATAGATTCGGTCGACCAGCTTAAGGTTGAAGAAGAGACCGGCGAACGACCCAATGGCAATGGATAGGTAGTTCAGTCCGCTAATGCTGGGACTCTCGTGATAGACTTCTGTCCAGATGTTCGGGAACGTCGCAAGTAAGAGGTATGTTACGCCGAAGAGGTAAGCCATGTAGATGGCCATGCAGAAGACAATAGGCTGCGTCATAAACAAAAGCAACGGCCGCTCGAAGGCATGTAAAAGCTTATAGACAAGCTTCTCTACCTTCTCGTCGGTATGCAGATTACTGTTGCCCGTCTTCTGGACAAGAGCATCGCGTCGCTTACGTAGGATCGTACCGGGGTGACATTCACGCAGCCAAATGAATCCTGCAAGCTGGACCGCGACGGCAGCGGCAGAGGTTGACCAGAAGACCCAGCGCCAAGTCGAGTACTGGGCAATAAAGCCGCCTGCAATGGGACCAACAACAGGCCCGAGAAGCGGACCAAGAGTGTAAATGCCCATGGCTTTGCCACGTTCTTCGGCGCTCCACATGTCGCTGCAAGACTGGTCAGTACACGTAAGATTTCTCGGGGATTCGATCATTTGCTAACCCAATTGCACCTCCTCCAATTGCGAGCGGCGCACTGCCACCAATTCCCGCAAGAAAGCGGAAGGCAAAGAGTTGGGACTTTGTTTTCGCGAAGCCGCAGCCCAAATTCCAGGCTAGGTACCACACGTTGCTAATTTGAAGCAGACACACACGGCCGTAGAGTTCCGAGCTTGGTCCAAAGAAGATGGGGCCGATGGAGTAGGCGAGGATAAAGATAGCCATGGACAGGTATATCTCAATATTGGAGTGCATCCCTAGAGCCTTACCAAGATCTTGCATGGCGGGGGCAATCATGGATGACGAGACTGGCGAGATGAAGACGAAAAGGGAGATAACACAGGTGTTCTTCCACTTTAGACCCTTAGGCCAGTTTTTGGGGTTCTCTGGATCATCTGGTCCATTCCATGTGATGATATCCGGGTCTATGTTGGCATTGGCGTCGGCATCGAGAGAGGACTCGGTTGGGAGAGAGGACCTAGTTAGGGTTGGGGGTTTGGCTGCTTCGAGGTCTTTCGTCTCAGCGAAGTCCTCGTCGGAGGCGCTTGACCTCTTATTGCTCATATTGGGATCGGTATAAGATAGATTGAGATTGAGAGCTTGATTTCTTAATGTTGTGCTGCTGGACTGACCTCAATGGTTATATACTTGTAGAACATTCTTATTGCGTCTGTCAGTTAGCCAATCACCGGCCCGGATTGCAGTTAGGGCCCGGATCGCCCGTAAAGGACCGGCACACCGTCCAATAGGATGAAGGCAATCTTCGGGCCCGTTCTGCTGGCGATGGCCCGGCAGGCTGTACAATAGGAGGCTGCTCGGCCCCATTTGACCCTTTACTGCTTGCTGTCTTTGCCCGTGGACCGGGTCAAACTACGCAAATAGCCGATTTCGTCATGGAGCCCGAGGCGTCGCATACCGGATTGGGGCAACCGTTAGCATAGCGGAGTTAGCCTTTTTGAGGTTGAAGACTGATTGACGTGATGTGATCTACGTCTGTCTATATGAAGGAGGAAGCAAGAAAATGATCAAAAGAAATCAATGACGACAATATACCTACTGCTATGAAGCTATTTAGAGAACTTCATCGTGAAAAACCTGGAAGCCACAAAAGAGGCCAAGGGAAGTCCTGACAAACTGCAAGTGGCCAACTTAGCCGTTCTTACGCGGACTCCATGACCATTCCCGATCATCCCTCCTCTCTCGTTCCCGACGCTAGCTATCCAACCGAAGCTGTGCAGCTTCCAACTCGGCTTGGCTTCTGTCGCGTAATGCAATCGCCGCTTGATTATCTTGGGCATGTATATTTACCTGCAATCCCGCCATTACAGGAGCATTCCCTCCTCCTTGGGATCCGCTGGTGCGGGTGGTTGACCACGCTGGATTTGGCTGCGGTGTGGCAAAGGTGCTGGGGGGCGGGGCGGGATGCACCTCCTGCCGTTCGAACCTTGCTGTTGCGGTTGAAGGTGCCGGCAGTCTGGAAGTAGAGGCAGGCTGTCGCTCTGGGGTATATGGAAGCAACGGAGAGCGAACCCTAGCAGGCCGAGGGGAAAGTTGAGGGGATCTCATGGGGGTTTCGTAGTGTTGCCTCGACAGTGTTACTGTTGACCTAGGTCAACACGCTTCCCTTGGTCACAACGTCGAATATCAGCTTTCCGAGGAAGCTTGCTTTTCGCATGTTCGTTATCCACTTCGTAATCTCCTTGTCCCATAATTGGAGGTTGCGAATGATGACAAAATCCTTTTGAGTCTAGCAAGATTTAGCCGGTTAGTGTTAGCATTAAAGCCGAGACTCTTGGGATTCTCACTCTGCCTTGTCAACAAAAGAAACACAACAGGGGCTTCTCGGCCTTGTGTGGCGTCGACGGCGAGGAAATCTTGGTGGGCAAGCTGCTCTTTGTCCAGGACACCCTTTACTAGATTCCGCTGCGCACGATACAGCGCAAGGATAATGATGTCTTGCCCTTGCACTTGGTCGCCTGACGGGGTTCAGAAGCGGTAAAGGCTTCGCAGGGTATCGACTCAAGTTTGAACCTGGGCATGATTCACCCAGGAGGTTTCTCCTTCAGACTTTGATGCTAGCCTGCGGAGATCCAACGGGATACTGAAAGCAAGAGGTTGTCACGGCGGAGCGGATATTTGTAGCCATTCCAGCACGGATTGATGAAAATGTGAGGACATTGTCATTTTCTCTCTCCTGGATGTAAGATAGCGACTTAGAAACGATACCGAAGTGTGGGCTGTGGTACAAATACCTCATGGTAAGTTGTAGATGGAGGAACTAGGGAGTGAAGGCACCATTGTAGGGGGGACATGGTCCTCCCCTACGTACCTGTCCACCTGGCCAGGTGTCATTTATTTATTCACGAAATTGCTATATAAGCATTGATGTAAGCAATGGATTAGTTGTTAGTTGTTAGTAGATAGCCCTAGAGCGGTGTAGGGCATAGTATAGTGATCAACTTACTTCGAATCGAGGATAAGGTCGTGTAAATCGCCACTCATCCCACATGCGTAAGCATCATGTGTTAATTGTAGGGCCGCTGGAAAGAATCTCGATAGGATAGGTGGGTTCCAGCTTCCCCCGTATCTGGCCCGGTCCTGTCCCGCGTCGAACATCCAGTCCATGAGATCCCCACTCATATCACGACAACTAGGAAATGATGATCGTGGAAGGAAGCAAGGAGTCACTAAATCGGAGATCACACCGGTATCAATATCCAAGTGATGAAAATTGATACTTAGATTCTCAACCATCTCATAAGTGAGAACTTCGCCGTCCAAGTTGCAAAGGGATTTACGAATCTCCTCTAAGTCACGGTAGCGACTTTCGAGCTGAAGGTATAAAAGGCACCATCTTTTGCGGAGCGCTAGTTCATCAAAGGTCGGTGAACTAAGGGGAAGCGATGCTAGATGGAAATTTCAGATTGTTTGAAGGGCAAGATGGATGCTTCTAGACCCATATCATTAGTACTTTATCGAAATAGGCTTGGTGGTACATAGTAGTTTCCATGGAGGAGTTCCATGGTCTGAGAAGGCGGTGGAACTACCGTATTTCCAAAACTTCTCATTTCCTACAGTAGTTTTTAGAATACAGTATTCTATATAAAACGGTATTCTAAGGTATTCTAAGGTATTCTGAGGTATTCTCTTATACTTTTATCTATTGTTCAAGATAGAGAAAGGAGTATGATTTTACCCCTCAGGCAGTCATACCAGATAAGAGCCTGACTGCCTAGGAGCCTAGGAGCCTTAGGAAAATATAGGTAACTACTATGTATGTAGTTAGTAGTAATGATGTTACTACCTACCTAATTTCTAACCCTTGGAAGGCAGGTCTCGGGTGGGGTGCTAGATTAATCAACGATGCAACCATGAATGCCCAGGTGACGCCCCCAGCTGATTCTAGAAAGGTACATGTGTATGCGGGTTGACAGGTACCTGGATGTACCAAGTATCGCCGAAAGAACAGGCAATCTCCAAATATATATGCAAGTGGATTGCATATATTGTGTGTAGTCACGGGTATCTCAAGATATTGTCTGATCTCTATGTACGGAGTAAGAACTAACCTTGAAATGAATAATTGTCTCAGGTTAATAATAGACATAGTATTTAAAGCCCCTTTTTAGAGGGACACAGACAAAGAGGTGAAGATAAGCTTAAATCCCCGGCCTAGTCCACGGGTCTCTATACCACATTTGGGAGTCGCGATAACCCGACGATAACGATGTTAAATATACAGACCTACAACCAACCAGGTTGGAAGTCAGATCTCGCTGACAAATGGAACAAATGTACCCCCGCAGTAGAAGTTGATACAAGTACTTGGTGTTTTGCTGATTTACTTAAAAATGACTACTATTCATCCTTTCCAGGTAAGACCTCAGGAGACAATCACCTCACCCATCATGAGACCCGTTACAATTGGAATCGTGTCGATCGGAGACATGGGCCTAGGTATGGCCCGACTCCTAAAGTCTCATGACTACCGAGTTGTCACGGTCGCAGAAGGAAGGAGGTAGGGCGCCCGAGGCGAAAAGCACAGCCGAGAACTAACGAGCGCCAGTGAACACACACAGGCACGAATTCATTCCGCAGACATCGAAATTCTTCCCTCAGACCAAGCGCTAGTAACCCAAGCGGACTACGTACTTTCGATCGTACCTCCGCGGAACGCAGTGGCGACGGCACGACGAATAGCAGACGCACACGCCCAGTCACTGACCGGCAGTCTCCGAGAGGCAATAGAGGATGTAGAAAGCAAGCCGAAGAGGTCAAAGCTATACTACCTCGAGCTGAACGCGGTACCCGCTCGACTGGTGTCGGAGATGGCGGCGCTATTCGACGAGCCAACCACAACCACGGAAGAGGGCCGAGGGTGCCACTTCCTCGATGGCGGAATCATTGGGGCGCCGCCGTTACAAAGCACGCAAGACGGCACCTGGAAGAAACCTAGTGTAGTGCTGTCCGGGTTGGTGGATCTGGCTCCGAGGTTTGCGACACTAGCCAGCGTCCTGAATATAAGGCTTGTCTCAACTCGGATTGGCGCCGCATCCACGCTCAAATTATCATTCTCTGCGCTGACAAAAGGTCTTACCGCGCTGTCTATTTTGTCGTTCTCCACTGCGCAGAAGGAGGAGATGTTGCCAGAGTTGTTAGCGCTGTTGGAGGAATATTCCCCACGCACTGCGGCACTCGCGACAAATGGGGTGATTGCTATGAGTCCCAAGGCATACCGGTGGGAGGATGAAATGCGCGGGATCGGGGAGGCGTTTGATGCGGAGGGCGGTTGGAATGGGGTCGGGGCCGGTGTTTATGGAGGGATTGCTGAGATCTATCGGATCATTGCGGAAGATACCATATTAGGTGAGGAAAGAGTGGAGCATCGAGTGCGAGGTATAACGGTTGAGGACGCCTCTCAGATCATAGCTCAAAGGGAAAAGTAAGCCTTGAATAATATGTTAGCATAAAATATATGTCATAAGGACGATCGAGTGTTTCTAGACTGCGCGGGAGGAGGGATTTTGCTTCCGGTGCCAAGCTTCTGGGTGTATTACTGCGACTAGTCCGCGTCATCCGTGATGCGCTGAAATGATATTAAGCAAATCATGTAGAATATAGAATACACTTACGTGCACCTCAGTACATTTAGTACATTTATTACTATTTTTTACCATTTTTCTCCAACATGATGCATATTTGTTCATACTTTGTAGTACATCGGTGTGTGCCTTAATACTTGATTCAGGTACTGGCTCCGAGGCAAGTGGGGATGACAAGGCCCCCTTTTTTTATTATTTTTTGTTAAAGAGCTTGATATCTCTGGAGTCTGGAGCTCTGAATCTGGAGAAGCTGTTTATCTACTTATAAACTGTACCTTTATATCTTTATATACCCATGTCTCCATACATCCTACATAGTGATCTACTATATACGAAGTACCGAGGTGCTATTTACAAAGCGGTGAATCGTTCAACGGACGAACCAGAACTCGCGATCACGACATTTCTCCATTCTATCAGATCATCGACTAGCATCTTTTTTCTTTTCTGCTCTTCCTCTTTGCCCCCCCTTTTTTTTAAAACAATTCCATTTATTGCCCTTTTAATTCGTCCAGGTGGAACTCCCGCGGCATGCGACGATGAAGTGACCTTTTTTTCGAGGTGATCGTGGCCGAGAACTCAACTTCCCGGTCTTTTTCTATCATCTATATTGTCTTACTCTTATTTGTTTTTTTTTTACCTTTTTATTTTCGCCTTGATTTATATTGGGCAATTTGGTTTAAACTGGTGATCCTGATTTGCTTCATAGAAAATCCCGTCCTGATCTGGGGTTACCAACATCAGCCCCTCTTCTCTCTCAACTCACATAACCCTAAAGGTCAAGGGGGCTGAACTTCTTTTTCTTATTTCTTCTCCTCTTCAACCATGCCGGGGGAACAACCACCTTTGCCAGGTCCAGGTCCCGTCTTCGACAAACTTGAGAACTTCAATTTTTTGATGTCGCGCCACGATCCAGCAGCCAAGACTCGACAGTACTCATTTGACGCTGATTCCGGGCTGGTCCCATTTGGCAACGTGAGTATGGATTACGACCAGACCGAAGGTATGGGCGGTCTGTCAGTCAGTTCCTATGAGAGTATAGAAGACGACCGCAGCTCCCTCGATCTCCGAGGCTATCCCTATCATGGTACGTATCAAGCTTTTTGAGAACTTGTGCCCAATGTTGCATTTGTTACGCCATCACGCCTTTGCGTCTGAGCTTTAGTTCGGGGCTTGAAACTCCATCTGAAAATTGAAGTTCGATCTGTCTATTTTTGTGCTTTTTCCACCTGTTCATTAAAAAAAAAAAAAGATGTGCGCGGATATCCGAGCACTCAAACCTCTTTCCTCTTTCCCCCTACCCATGTGCCAATTTCATTCAAGGCTTGGTTTTTTTTTTAAAAAAAAAGGGCTCGAGGCTGCAAAAGCCCAGGATGTGAGCAGTGACATGCATCTCTCATCTCCAAAGGTGGGAGATCACCGTCGGTGCTCCTAATGCACGAGCACGCAATCCCGCAATGAAATGGCAAACGCCAGTGGTTGCCTGCTGACGCTTAACTGCACATCCCCTTGATACCCTTCTTGAGCTTATATCCTTCGGAATATGATTTGCACTTCCCGATCCATGGGGCTCACTCCCTCGGGGTTATATCGACTTCGATCGCTTACTCAATCCATAGGCCCTCCTGGCGAAAAGCCCGTCAACTACAATCTCCCAGAGCACATGATGCCCTACTCAGCACACTCAATCTATCCGCCAGTCCCATATGCGCCCGACGAGCTCGGTCACGCACAGGGAGCCCTCACTCCATCCGATGTTTCTTCATCCATCTCGCCGCCCAACGGCCAGATGGGAAACACCAAGTACAGCACCACGATCTCCGGCGATCGCATCGCCGCCGCTCTCGACCAAGAAGAGGGCGTTCGCGGTGCCGCAGAGGAAGATCGTCGTCGTCGAAACACCGCCGCCAGCGCTCGATTCCGTCAGAAGAAGAAGCAGCGTGAGCAAGTCCTCGAACGTACCGTTCGGGAAACCACCGAGAAGAACGCTTCCCTCGAGGCTCGCGTCGCACAGCTCGAGATGGAAAATCGGTGGTTGAAGAACCTCCTCACTGAGAAACACGACGCTGGTTCTCGTTTGCCTGCCCCGGCTAAGGACAGCTCTGCTCTCGAGCTAAAAGGTCCTGGCGGCAATACCAGACAAAAACATATTCAGCCCAAAAAGAAGGGCGTCGGCACCGAGGAGTGACGAGCCAAAATGGAAGAATGTGCTTTTTTGTTGTTTGTTTGCGTTGTTGGCTGCCGTTGCGTTCTTTCTTTGTATCATCTCCCCAGCCTACGTCTCCTACGGTCTTCTGCTCTATAACGCGGCCGTACCGAATCAGCATTCTGCTTTTTTTCCCGATCTCCTTGCTTTGCTATGGTGTCTGCACTTGGCTCTCTTCTCTATCAGTCATATTCAACGACAGAATAGAGGACAGATGAGCGCAGACAAATGACGATGTCACGACCCTTCTCTTCTTCTCGTTTGCCTGGATCTCCCGACCGTGGCTTTTTCGACTTCTAGGGATGGTCTTTGCTTCTGCACTTCAGATCTGGCACTTTCGTTGGATGTTTCAAATCCCTATCCCCTCTCTACTCCCGCCTAACGGGCTTTATCTTTATATCATCTGCCCAGGCTCTCTACCTTACAACTCTCTCAATCCTCCCTACCCTCTGTCCGTTCGATCGTGTGCTGCGAAGGCTTGTTTCATTTTCTCTCTTTCCCTGGGTTTATGGGAAAGGAGATGAGTTAGTGGTGTTGTGGTCCAGACTCGGGGAAGTCGAATTTGTGTTTTTTTTTGCTTTATGGTATTGGTTTTTATATTTGATATCTTTTCCTTTATTTTCTGCTATGGGAATCGCCTTTTTCTGTCATCTTTTCCTCCGTCGTTGCTAGCTATCTGTGGACTGGAATGCGTGCAATATAAACTGGGGTTTATCGCTATACAAATTTACCATTTACCTCTCTTGCTACTATCCTACTACTCTATCCTACTCTATAGCGTTCTACTGGATACGTAATTGCAAAGGCGCAAAAGCAGCGGTGAGTGACGTGCTTTAGCTGGCGTGCTATATCAGAGTGGTTTCCTCATGGAGATCGAATGCCATTGGAGAATGAAATGTGTTGTCTCACTTTTCCGGGGTAAGGGTCTAATCCCCACAGGGCTTGCGTTGTTCAGGCGAACATGCCGAACTGCAACCACACAGACAGCACGTTTTTAAAATCAGCCTGAATGTACACTTACTCCATTTAGTAATATAAATTTTCTGCAAGACAATCCATTTGAACACCTTAATTACCCTGGACTATCCTAATCGGGAAACACAAAAACAAAAAAGACAACGTAAGATGGTATTACATCAATTAAGTAAAAACAGGGAATGGAAATAAGGAAAAAATAAAAAAAAAAAAACCGAACAAAACCCCAGGCAATTGCCACCACCTGATCGCAGAGTACATCTCCAATTCCTTGGAGAAAGAAAAGGGAAATTAGACCCACGTGCCTCGATCTAACAAGCATGGAGAAGTGGAACATCCCGAAGCACGATTCATAGCCGTTGGATCACGACATTCAGAGGCGTTCATGAAAAAAAAGGCGTCAAAACGTCCCAAGTTGCATGGCGTGATTGATGTGCGTCTTCTTCGAGGATAGCACGGAATCAAAAATAAAATGAAACGTAGGATATGGAAGATCGGAAGCACGAGGGATTTTTGACAAAAAGGAACGTGGAGATGAAAAAAAAAACATAAGGGACAGATGATAGATCATACCTATTCATCTGCGCCAATTTCAGCCGTCAGATTCGTGAGGGAAAAGAGATAAGAAACTTTTCTCATCTATCCCTTATACGGTAATAGGCTCACGCTCCTCTTCACGTCCTCGCAGCTCGCCCTCAATGGTGCTGACGCCGTCATCACCATCCTCGTAGTTAGGGTGCTGGTCAGCAGGGAGCCAGGAGTCACGGTCCCCAGCCAAGGGCTGGTCCTGTCCAGACAGATCCACGCCCTCGCGGTTCTTGTTGAGGTTAGAGCGGTGGCGCTGGGAGAGGGTGCGGGAGCGCTGGGAAAGACTAGACTTCACGACTGCCTTGGAGGAGACCCAGTTAGTGAGGGCATCCTCGCAGTCCTGGATGATGGCCTTGGAGGCATCGTAGCCGTCGTAGGCGTGGCGGGTCTCGCCGGGAGTGACGGGGGTGTCGTCGATCAGGTCGAGGAGGTGCTTTCCGTAGCCGGCGACGATAGCGACCTTCTCGGAGTGCTCGCGGAGCGCATCGAACTGGTACTGGAAGGCGGCCTTGACCTTCTCGCGGGTGATGTTGGATAGCTGGGCCTCGGCGACGAGGGACTCGGCTTCGGCGCGGACAAGCTCTTGCTCCAGGACGACGATGCGGGGCGAGTTGGGGTCCTTGTACTTCAACTTGGCGATCTCATCGGTGATCTTTTGCTTGCCTGGAGAATATCAATTCAGTTAGTTAATGCTGGTCGGAAAGTGGAGCGGCTAATGCCGATGCTAGGGGAGCCTCACGGTCTCGGCTGGGCTGTACGGAAGCCTCGATGTTACGGATGCTCTTAATAGTAACACGGTACTGGTCGTAGCGGTCAACGAACATATCCTCCAGCTCACCGATCTCGTAGATCAGCACGCCGAGCTTGTCCGTCACATCCGACACATCCTCATCGCATGCTTCACCCCAGATGGAGAGTTGTTGCTATGGCGACCGAGTCAGTTTCCAATTTATCCCATGATCAACACCAAATTTCAGGGCTATCCACATACAGCGACTTCCATGCGCTCCCGGGCGACGAGCTCCATGCTGCGCATGGCGTTCTTCTCCATTTTGACGAGCTGCGACAGCTTCTT